CCAACATGGCTGTCCCGGTCACGTGGTTGCGAACCAAGATCTTTAAAAGTCGTGTGGTTTTCGTGATTCCAAGATTGCCTTAGCGGCGTTAGCGACTGGATGCAGCGACGAGCATAAAACAGGCCTTATGATTTCAGTTCCCGGTTTTTCCATCACTATCCCGCTAGGAGCAAACAGCTTTGCTTGTACCAGATTCCTTATTTTTTGGACGAAGATAACGACTGGGCTTTAGACGTCTCTGAACTGAAGAGAGCGTTAGACGAGTCGAGGCTGCACTGTAGACCGAGAGGCCTGGTAGTGATTAACCCGGGAAATCCCACAGGTATCGTGTAACTTAGTAGGGTTGTGTGTGTGTGTGTATGAGTGGGGAGGAGGGGTGGGGGCTTAAAAGATAATATGCACGTGATTATATCTTTCAAAGCTTGATAACTGCATAATAAATCTGTTCAGGTACTTGGTTGTTCCTATCAGAGAACATAAGTTAGGAAAAAACTGCAGCTAAGAAACTTTGTAAGAGGGCAAGACAAATAACTGTTACTGACATCCTTTTCTGAATGGGTTGAAAAATTGGCCTTTGTTTCACGTGATTTGTTCATTCTCATTGGTTGCGAATCAACAGGAAAATTGTTAGTATCATGTCACATTGGTTGTTTTCCAATTATGTTAAGCACTTTCTCATCTATGTCAACTTTTCGATTATAGAAGGGGGCATGCAAGGCAGTGATAATTAAGACTGAAGCCGTAACTAAGAATATCGATTTACACTTAACCCCTCCCTCGGTACCAGAGGATTTTTTTCTCGCGACGGTGGGATGTTTCGGTGTCGGCAGCAGGCCAACGGCAGAAGGCCGAAGCTACGAATAGGGCAACTTAGTAAACCCGGTCTTGTGGTCAACTTTCGATTCAGGTCACAAGTGCTCAAAGGATAGTAGTTTTAGTTTTCTTTTGAGTCAAACTAAAGTAGCCTACGAAAACAGCCTTTTCTCATCGCTCCTGGCTGCTAGGGACCCACTGCGGTCAAATATTTCTGCTCCTGTGACTAAACTCATTGTGGTACTGCTGAATGGATTCTTTCGCAGGTCAGGTCTTGACCTACGAGAATATCAAGGAAGTTATCAAGTTCTGTGCGAGAGAAAAATTGGTTTTATTTGCCGATGAGGTGTACCAAGAGACAGTGTTTACTAACGAGGTCCAGTTTCACTCGTGCAGGAAAGTTGTGAGGGACCTGGGACCTGAATATGACAAATTCCAATTGATGTCAATAAATTCTGCCTCGAAAGGGTTTCATGGCGAGTAAGTCATAATATCACATGTATTATATAATGATAAACGAAGGTGGAGTACCTGTCACGACAAAAGAGAAGACACTTCTAATGCATTGCGTTATTATCACAAGGCAAATTTGTCTTGACTTTTCTGAAACCAACATCGGTGAAAGAAGATGCTCAATCATAATGCGAATTTGGAGTGAAATGTCGTAATTTACATTATAACCATGGTATCAGCATACATTTTCTCCTCTCTGTTCTCCATGCATTTCCTACGATACCGTGGTTAACAATCAAGACCTTTTTCACTTCTTGATCATTTTTTTTTCTCACGACATTGTGGCTTGATTGACTGAGCAAGGTTACTGAGTTAGGAGAAATTGAATGTTGATCACTCTTAGGGGTTAAAGGTTTGTTAGACTGGTTTTCAGTAATTTAGTAAAAAGAAAAAAAAGGCATTTATTTGAAAAAGGAACTTTAGTTAGTAACACTCTACCCAAATGTAATACCAATTGATTTGTATCGATTCAATTAATAATTAATTGATCGATAGTTTATGATCATAAGAACGTCTAGTGCGCGGACACCTTTTGATTATTTGTTATTCTTATTATTTACTATTGATGTTCGTCTCTTTCAGGTGCGGTTTAAGGGGTGCTTACCTAGAGATTGTAGGGTTTAGCAAAGAGGTTTTAGTACAGTTTAGGAGCTATCTATCTTCACCGCACATCGCACCGTCAACTATTGGGCAGGTATTTTATATATAAAGTCGGTATAAAACATAAAACGGCTTGGATCACTTCGAGGAGCTAAAATGAAGTTGAGCTAATTGCTTTGCTTTTAAAGGAATTTTTAACTCCTTTCAATTAATAGCTTTTTAGTTGCGTCACTAAAGAATCTTAAAAAGACGGTTTTATGGAGATAGCACATGTTAAGCTTTTAATTGTACTATCCTCTGGTTAATGCGAATCACAGTGATACGTCTGAGTAGTGACATAGGAAAAGCGAAAGTGCTTTACTGAAGGTTTGATTGTCAGTCGTTTGAGGGAGTCTAGTTTACATCCACTTTCGTACCCAGAGTCCTCGAGCTCTTTGGCCAGCGGGTGGACGCCAGGAAACCGCTGGCCAAAGAGCCCGCGTACTCTGGGTCGAACCTTCTGTTGGCAGCTAGTGGGAGAGGAAACGAAGACGCACAAAGGATTGCTATAATCGAGTCTAACTTCCAAGTGCCCTTATTAGGCCTCTTTATCGAATATATTTATTATATATCTAGACGGATCTTTGAAAACGTTACCGCCGTTTCCCGTTCGACTGTTTTTTTTGGCCAAAAAAAATTATAAAAACTAAGAGTGCAACCATTGCTTTTTCCTCTTCTCCTCGCTCTCTCTTTTTCTCCTTTCCTTTTCTTTCGTTACTGAGATCTTGGAGCTTCTTGGGCTTAAGAAACCTGCCTTTTGACGCCTTTTCACACAAATGACTGCAAATTTTGTTAGGTTGGTTCTTAAAAAATCGGTTCACATCAGTATGACATGATTATAGCTCCAGTGCAGTACTTTAAATCAGAGGCTGATTAGGGTAATTAAGAAACTGGGCCTATTGTTTTGTAACGTGTTGTGCTAGCTGACTTTGTTTTGTGATTTTATCATCCGAAGGCTGCTGTTGGTGCAATTTGCAATCCTCCTCAGCCTGGTGACGAGTCATACGAGACTTTTATCAAGGTACGTATATAAGCAAAGGATCCCAGCGTGCTCTCTACCTATTTCGGGGGTAATTGTTTCCGGTCTGTGTAACTAAAACATGAATTTTACATGGACTATTTAAACTAGGGAGCCAAAGACCAGCTAGATCAGGAACAACTAAATCAAAGACAGGCGCGTACTGCTTTATACACTTCCTATATGTTGTAACTGCTACGAAACCAATTGTGGAACCAATTGTGGAATTGCAAAAAGTTTAGGCATCCTTCTGATGAACAGTTACGACTTTTAGATATTTCAAGCAACAACAATTTTCCATCTGTCCTCTTTGAGTTATTATCGTATTTAGCTGCGTGTAGCCTGTTCCAGCCTTTCAGTTAGTCGGAAAGACAGAGGAAAAAAGATTGGAGAAAAAAGTGCCCCGCTTTCCTCTCCCTCTTTCTCTTTTTTTCCACCAACTGAGAGCCAAGAAACTTTAGCAACTTTTCCAGTTCCTTTCAATTCGTCTGACTTTACTGGCGAAAGTTAAGGCATAATGTATACTTCACGTCAAGGAAAGAACAGGAAAAATTGTATTTTATCCTATTTTGACCTTGAAATGAAAACGCGCGAACAAAACAGAAACAACAAACGAACTGAAATAGAGCGAATTGATTGTTTTATCGAACGGATACAAACGCGTTCGGCTTTTGGTTGGTTGGTTAAAGGACAGCATAGCGAGGCTCAAGATATTGTAAATGAGGTAGTAAATTGGTCAATCAGAAACAGAGTCAAGTTAAACACAGACAAATGCAAGGAGCTCCGCATTAGTTTTACATCAGATTGTTACTTTGCTCCAGTAGTCATAGGAGAGGAGTGCATCAAATTAGTTAAGGATGCTAAACTTTTAGGTGTTACTATCTCTGGTGACTTAACATGGAATGCGCAAATCTCGGAAGTTACTAAGAAGGCAGCTAAGAGGCTCTATTTTCTTGTTCAGCTAAAAAGAGCTCGTGTTCCACAGAAAGATTTATGCCTTTTTTACATTACATGCGTGCGCTCCGTCATTGACTATGCTGCGCCAGTTTTCCATCACGCGCTACCAACCTGCCTTTCGCAAGAATTAGAACGCGTCTAGAAAAGAGCAATGCGAATCATATGCCCTGGTATAGAATATCAGCAAGCTTTAGCGTTTATGAGTTTACCAACGGTTGCGGAGCATCACATTTGCACGCGCACGTTTGAATGCATAATGAGCGACTCGAACCACAAGTTAAGAAGGTTGTTGCCGCCTCTTTATAAGAGCAACTATAATCTAAGGCACGCGCGCACTTTCACTTTGCCGCGTTGCAAGACACATAGATTTAAGAACAGTTTTTTTATGGCCACAGGCAGAATTGTAAATAATTTTTAAGCTTCTTATTAAACGTTTTTAGTCTTAGCTATTACAATTATTAGTATAAATTATTACCATGGGGGATTATGTAAATACGCAATTCAGCTTATGCTGCAATGTATTTAATAAAGTACCTACCTACCTACCCACCTACCTAAGCGAACGCTCGGGTGAAAAAACTTCATACCCAAGAACTTTCTAGAAATCAATCGATAGATCACTTTGACGTCATGCTGCAACACGATTGGCCAATTGAACAATGCCTTCTCCTTATTAGGGTTTTCTTTGGCGGGAAAACGAACAGTCAAGGTCGTACGAAAATCGCTCTAATGAAATTCTATTTCTGAGAAAAAATTGAGAAGTCGTCAACAAATAATCGAATGAACTTTCCAGAGTCCACCCGTTACTAGGAGATGGACTTGTGAGTTAGGGAATGTTATTTGACAGAGTCTTAGAAGTGGGACAGCAAAATCTGTGGAGAACAACAGCATACCTGAATGTTTTTAAGTCAAGGCGCTCTGAGTGTCGAGAGTTATAATTGGACTGTGAGTCAGTACAATGATCCTGTTAATCATTACTCTAACAATTTTTGCTTTTCGCATGTAGGAGAAGATGTCCATTTTAGATTCTTACCAAAGGAAAGCAAGGATAACTACAACAATGTTGAATTCTCTTGAAGGAGTCTCATGTAATGCTGTAACTGGTTCACTGTATGCATTTCCAAAAATTGTTCTACCACAAAAAGCCATTGAAGAAGCTATGGTAAGGCATCAAAAGGGTCTGGTCAGCGTATTATACTATGGTATCTTTCCACCCTTTACCCAAAAGCCCCGGGGGGGGGGGGTACTGCCATATATGGGCTATATAGGTATGTGCCGCTGTGAAGGGTATGGTTTTCAAGCAGTTTACTCTGGGATAGGGTATATAAATCAGAGCGTTTGGCTCTAGAATAGGGTATCATTTTTCAGGAAACTGATCAGTTGGTTGAAGATTTTATCTAGACTAGGTACACAGCTACTCTAGGATAGGGGGATTTGGGGATTTTACTCTAGTATAGGGTAGCAAAATTCAGCTGAACTAGCTCTGGTAAAGGTTAAGGGTTCCAGGCTCCCAACGGCACATCCCCACCCAGAAATTCCTAAAGTACCCCCCCCCCCCCGGGCCAAAAGCCCACAACGAAAATCTGGTTGCATTCGGAGTCGTGTGTGGCCGAGCGGTTAACACCTCAACTTCGGATCTGGAGACCCGGGGTTCAAGCCCCGCTCATCGCGTTGTTTCCTTAGAAAAGAAACTTTACTCCACTTTGTTCACCCAAGGGTATAAACGGGTACCGGCGACATCACTGCTGAAGGGTAACCCTGCGATGGACCTGCATCCCATCTAGGGGGGAGTAGCAATACTCCTCGGCATGCTTCACGCTAAGGGCCGGGATAAGTTCCGGCCATTCGGGCCTTTGGCTCGTGTGCGTCTTTACGTTTTCTACCACAACGAAAATCTGCTTTTTTTCCAGCTTAAGAAATGCACACCAGACGAGTTCTACTGTTGGCGGATGCTAGAAGAAACTGGCATAAGTCCTGTTCCAGGGAGTTCTTTCGGACAAAAAGAAGGAACGTATCATTTTAGGTCAGAGCTAACTGTTTCCATTTATGGTCCTTGTTTCTTTGTTATATTTAACAATTATTCCTCTCGCCCTCTGATGGGCTCTAGCTGAGTCAATAGCCCATGAGGCGGTATGGCGAATGGGCTTTTGACTCAGCTAGAGCCCAAGAGGGCGAGAGGAATAATTGTTTTAGTAAAATGCAACCCGTTGGTGAAAAAATATCGAGGCAAAACAACTTTAGCTAGCAAAACGCGATTCAGCCGCCATTGGTAGTGGGCTATAACATATAGCCTAGTAGTAGCTCAACCAATCAGAACGCAGAATTGATTTATAGACCACCAGTTGGATTTTACTAAATATATTTACCTTTCTTGTGGGTTGATGGGAGAAACTCATCACTGACGATGTGGGTCAGAGAAATGCTAAGCAGGTTTCTTGAGATACACCCTCTTTAAAAAAAAAACAAAAGTACGGAGACTTAACTATGCTAAAACGGGCAACAAAAACGAGCAACTTGTTCTGAAACATTGCTGCTAAATGTGCAAGTATTTAAAAGCAATGTGCGAGATGTGCGGTATGCACCCTGGCAGAGTTTGGGCTTTTTTCCCAGTGGCGGATCAAGAGGAGGGGCCCGAGGGGCCCTCCTCCCCCTTATTTTTCGACCAAAATAAGGCCCGAAGGGCCGAAAAAAAGTTTTTTGGAGACCGGGCCCCCACTTATCTTAGGGTCTGGATGACCGGCGCCCCCTCCTTATCTGAAGGTCTGGATTAGTCACTGTTTCCTATGATAGAGAAGGCTTTCCTACAAAAACGGCGCACCAGCTCGGAAGGTTGTAGGGATAACCTTCCTTATGGAGAAACCTTGTGCCAGGTAGAAGGGTCACTCGCCTATATGCACGAGCTGCCCTGGGCAAGCAAACGTTCCCTACATTTCCTTACAAAACTTGGCGATCGAGCCGTTTACACCAGAAACAAAAAGTTGGCTCGGCAGGGTCACCTCCTAGCCGGGGTAACTTTACTCCATATACAGTGGAACCTCGATATAACAAACCTCTCTATAACGAAGTCTTGCTTAGCGATTAATTTGCCCCAGTAATAGTAAAATATATGGAAAAGAACCTTGATATAACGAAGCCTCATTATAGCGAACAAATTTCGCCAGTCCCTTGGCCCTTTTTAAAATCGAGTTTCCACTGTACAGGTATTTCGAGGAGAAAGGTTGTCAAAAAAAGTGCCCGCGACAATCCCGACAGGTATTGTGTGTGGTTTTGACCTTCCGTCCCTCTGTTCTTTTCTCCATTAGTACTTTATTAAAAGTCCTTTTTTTTCCTGGTTGGTTATGCCATTTTAAAGGAACTTTCATACCTGTTTGGCGCGAAGTTCACCTGTCGAAAATTCTACCGGTGACGTCATGACAATTGACCAATAGAACAGTCACAGCATATGTCAATCATTTTTTTTTTCCGCTTGAATTTATAAATATGATTCAAATCCTTTCTGGCGAAACAAGTCGACCTTAAGACTTCGTCGCTCGCTCGGTCGCTGTGCGACCTCATGCATTGAACCTTGCTTCGTTCATTTTCAAGAACTTATGAGAAGTTGACTTGTAGCAAGTCTACTTCTCCATATAAACGGGGTATTATTAAAATTAAGTAAATGCGACAAAAAGCGGAATAAAACAGGGTCGTTTTAGTTTGAGAATTTTTATTTTTTTTTTGCCGCAGGTTAACCATCTTGCCATCTGAGGAAAAGGTAGTTCCCATGTTCGACAGAATTAGCAAGTTTCATAAGGAATTTATGGACAAATACAGAAATAACAATGATAATAGGAACTAACGTGAACCTAGGTTTAAAGAAACATCTGCAATTACTAGGCAAAACAGTTATAACGTCAGTTCGTTCAGACTTTGCGATCATTAAAAAGAAATGGAAGTGGTCATAAACACTTGAAAAGATTTCTCAGTCTTTTACGTTAGGGTTACAAAGTAGCACTCTACCCCTTCCCCCACAGTCCTTATTTTCTTCTGTTATACTGATAGTAAGAAGTTCAAGTTTCATCTAACCTGCATAACAGGCGATATCTTTTCGCGTTTTTTTTAAGGCCAGCGAAGGCAAGAAGCGTGGAGCGCGAGACATGCTGTTTGCCTTTGAAGGACGGGAGGAAGAGCCCCTGGGTTCTGACTCCAAACGGTCAAGCGAATGCTGGCTCCTGCACTGATTGGGCACAAAAAGAAAAGAACTCAAGAGATGATGTTCGCTGATTGGTCACAATAATACAAAGCATTTTTTGTGCCCAATCAGGAGCCAGCATTCGCTTGACCGTTTAAAAAAGGTCCGGTGAGAGTCGGTACTCAGGAGCTCTTTAACCCGTGCTTGAAAACTTTCATCGCGCCATTTCTCCCGACCCGACTGACTGCCCCTGGGTTTTCGAGGATAGTAAATAACAAGCTTCTTTAAAAAATTTCAGTCGAAAATTCCTCCATATTCTGCACTGACTGACTATCGCCTCGCAGGGGTGAATTGTTAAGAGCTTAAATCTGTTGACCAATGAAACTCTGCAAAATGAGAAATCAATCGAAAGCATAGCGAAATCTGATCATCACATCATCACAGATTTCTTTGATTTGCTCAGCTTCTTTGTCAGTAAGCTCACGTTCCCAGGCCGTCGCAGCTTTGGTTCCAAGCACCTCTCTTGAGGCGCCTAAAGAGAACTGTGACGTTTTTACTGCGGTGAGAATACGATGTTCAGCTCTGGGTGAAAGAGGAACACCTATAAATTGAAACAGTCTCTGAGCAGTTTTCCGAGGCTTGTTAATCAGATCTTCGAAGTGTACATAGTGAATGGATTCCTGAGGAAGGTGAAAATTTGCCCTGTACGTGGCTTGCATTTGCGTCTTCCAAAGATGAGCCAAAAGCGAAATAATGTCTCCATTAGTTTCGTTTCCGTATTCAAGCGTAGCGTCTCTAAGTTCTTTAAATTCCGGTGCAAAGGAAGACAAGTATTTATTGTGGCACTTCAGTTTTCTGATCACATCAATGGCTTTATGAACTTCAACACCAAGTGTGCTATCCGCGCGCATTTCACGAAACCAGAAGTTCACCCAACCCCTAGGGTCTCTCACTACAACAATAGCGCGCATTCTTTGTCCTACGACTTTTCTTAACCACCCAAGTTTCAAGCTCCATCCAGGGTTTCCAAGTCGAACCGAGGGTAATAGCTTACGGGATATTTTACGTAAGTTTGGCAGGAACCCTTTCGGATCTTTAGACAAAGCTCTAAGCCACTTTCTCAGATAAGCTGTATCATTAGATGGCAGGAAGAGAATATGTCCCACAAGGATTTAGAAATTTGTGCGTGGATTCGCGGAGGCCTGCGTAAAAGAAGTCTGAAGTATTCTTAAACAGGTAATGCAGAATTTCGCTTCCGGCCATGGGAAGAGAAGTGTAAAAACAAGTGGAGGGGTTTCTTCGGGTTCGAAATTTTCGTTGTCTTTCGTAAATTTCATTTGTATTGGCCCAGTCAAAGACAAATCAATGTTGATCACGAAGGTAAGAATTATCCAAATCGCCAAAAGACCCAAAAAGACTGTTTTACGGATGTTCCGTCCAATCAGTTTGCGTCGAAGCTGATAATAGAAAAGGAAAAAGGTGCTTGAAACGCCGAATATAAGACAAAGTGTTGGAAAAATACTCCATATTGGCCATTTCACTCCATTGGGCGATTCAGTCAGATCGACCACTTCAGATTTGGAAATAACATCCAAACCAAAGCGTATTGTCTTGCTATTGTTGATTCGTACTTTGCAAAATCCCCCAAAGCCCAGGAACTTGTATCTCGAATACGGCTGGTTATGTTGTGTTGCTATAGAAACGAGATATTTCACCCTATTGACGGTCAATAGTAGCTTCAACCCAAGTTCATGGGAATGTAGTACTTCAGCAGGTTCTATGCTGTTCCCAGGTCCCAGGAAAAGATACGCGGTTCTAGTAATATGCGCTTCGAGTGGCGTGGTTACATTAAGATAGTTTGTCTTCATGGATTTATAGTCTGTAACGTACGTTCTTGCTTCGACTAAGCTTTTCGTGCCGAGATTAAAATTAAACCAATGAACTTGATGCAAAAGTCCATCTATTGAGATGCTGGCAAACGAATTTGTGTTGAGTTTAAAGGGGTGGTCCACATTGTGAAAGAAGGCACTCATAATCGATGCTTCTCCTCCTCGCTTTCGTTCAATGTGATCAACAACTAATAGAACGCTTGGAGTCAGCATCACCAGGCTACGATAGATGCTCAAAAGGCCTAACTCTGCTCGATACCACTGGCTCATTTCACCGCTAGCAAAACCATGTCGCCTTCGTGTGAAGCAGAAACAATTTCCCCTTCTGCTCTCCAAGCAGACCTTGTTTTGAAATTAAACCAACCATGGCACTCTCCTATTTGTCCCTCGAAGGCTAAAACATGCTGAGTTTAAAGAGGGTCCAAATACTAAGGCATTATTGAGCCACGTGTATTTAGGAGCGTATAGTGTATCAGTAATAAAGGGTACTCCATTTGGGGCGAACACGAAGGATCCTTGGTCAGGATGCTCATGGCCTGGGTTAAAATTCGTCAACCTTCTAATCCAGGAATGCGAGCGTCTTCCTCTGACGATAGAATTAACAGCTCTTCCATGAAGAACGCTGCATTTAAAGGAAAGAAATGTTCCTTGCCATATCAGTGGGTTGTCCGAGCGGTTTCTACGGGACGTGGCTACTCCACCGCCGTAAGTAACAACTCCCCAGTCAGCGAACACGTGAAGGCGTGGCAACGACGGATTTGGTTGAGCTCTCGGCACAATGCTGGCATTGTAAAACAGAAATTCTGTGTGCAGCATGCGGTTAACATGTGACTTTGCTTGAGCAAAGGGTGGTTTCGTGTCTCGATGTACTGTGATTTGTCGAGCTAACCAGTTTCCCAATCCATTCCTAAGCACATAACTATCGAGAAATACTAACTGACTCTCTGGGCCGTAGAACCAGTTGCGATTTGAATCACCAATACCCACGGTCTGTTTAAACCCAGGAAGGACAGTATAGTGTATAAACCAAAGGTGCTCTCTGAACCAAGGGTTATGCGTGAAATCGCGCCGGAAGTGGCGTAACGCAAAGAACACATACTGTGTCAAAGAACGTGACGTGTAAGTTCCATAAGCTACACCTTCATCTATCGAGCCATCCACTACATTGTTTAATAACTCTAAATTCCTACTCAGCATTAGATGAGCGCGTGACATCCATGTTTCACCGTCCACTTTCTGATGCCTGGAGACAACTAGAGCGCCCGTTAAAATAGCCATATAGTTCGTAGCAACGTGATTTTGAAGGTAACAATTTCCCCACCACAACTTGCGATCGTAGGATCTTTCATACAGTTCTTTTGTAACAGATGCGATCTTCTTCAAAAAGCGAGTTCTTTGCGTATCGTTTAAAGCGCTGTATAAAAAGTCGTAGGCAGTCGCCATGCCGGTCAGCGAGTGTGCCACCGGCACATCGTCATGCAACGAAGCGTTCACTCGCCAATTTGGCAGATTCTCGAGGCGATCCATAAAGAGAATCGCTAGTTCTCTTAGCTTTGAATCCTCGGGTTTTAAAACGCAATAAAACGCCAGCACGGTCAAATCGTTTCCGTAACGTTCGTTCCAAGAGCTGGAAAACGTGGACCACTCTCTTGGCGGTAGATATTTCTCTGGATTCTGTGCCATTTCGTGAGTAACCGCTCGAATCCTGCTCGCTATTTCAGCGTGTGTTGTTCTTGCACGATGTTGAAGATCTGTAATCTCATTCTCGTTAAAATACAAGAAGGGATGAGGTAGATTCGCTTTTGATCTGATATCTGCAGCAAGACTGCCAGAAAAGGCAAAATATATTAGTAAAAATGTTCCGGAAAACATCACCGTGTGATTGCTGCTGAAAGCCCTAGCCAAAGACCTTAACATCATGGGTATCCGGTAACAAGCATCTTTCTTAATAGTAAACTTCCGGTGGAAAAAAAATTCCTCGATTTTATTGGCCAGTGAGCTGCCCGCTTAGCTGGCGCGAAAAAATCAACCTTGCGTGACCTTCCGTCACACCAGTGACAATAGATTTTGATGGTTTGGTCAAGGTACAGAGCTGTTTGACTGAGCAAAATCAGAGTTTGATTTTTCGAAAATGCAGTTTGTTTTGAAAATCAAGGTTGGCTTTCGAAAATTGGAGTTTGTTTTGAAAATCAGGTCTTGTTTTCGAAAATCGGAACTTGTTTTTGAAAATCGGAAATTATTCAAAAAAGCAGCGTTTGCGTTTGGATTTAGGAGTTTCCTTTACTTCTCCAGGCTGTACGCTGTCTTTTGAACTGGGTGGTCGCAGGAGCCCATAACTGGTGGTCGAGAGTACATGAGAGAGGCACACTAATTTCCAGATTTTTTCAAAAGCAAAATGCTTGGATATTTTAACAAGGAGGAGGTTTTCCGATTTTTGAAAGAACAAACTCCGACTTAGCACAAACAAAGCATGAGAAAAAACAGCTGACATATTACGACGCCACCAAAAAACTGCTGCGAGGAAGACCACTGCTTTCCCCGCGAAATGAATCCTACCGAATGAATGTTTGCGGCCGTTCCTCGGATGTGATCATTTCGTGGGAAGACATTGGTGGCGTCTTGAAAGCCCCTCAGGCTTGCCAAAACACCGATGTCCATTTTTAACCTTTGCTGAAGACACACAACAAAACAAAAATAGAATTTAGCCTCCGTGGCAAGCGTTTCGAGATTCCGCGCGAGTGGAACAAAACAAGGGAAGAAGGGGGAAGGGGGGGAGAAGAAACTGTCCATTGAGCCAAAGGCCTGGGACGAGGTAGCAAAGCAGCTGTCCAAAATGGCGGCGCACAAAAGTGCATTTCAGCGTTTATTGTGTCTTTCAATGCCTTCACTAGGTAAATGTAATTTCTTTTACTTTCATATGTTGTATTTAGTTTGATTATTCCGTATTTTTCACGTTTTTCGTTGCCAGTTGTTCTGATTTGTGGATGTAGCGCTTTTGTACAAGAGCTTGATGACAGGTGAGACTGGCCATAGAATATTTCACTAATAGCTCTGTTACTAAGTTTTAGAAAACAGTTATCACAAGCTTAAAATTATGCGTATTTTTTTAACGAAAATATGATTTTCTACAGGTTTATTAAACCTGGGTTTTAATTTCGTATCTAGCTAGAGTCTCCTAAAGACGAACAAGAGATACGATAGGCTTAATTAAATCAAAAATACTACTTATTATTATTATTTCTCCTTATTGCTTTGTCTGTGACAGTTTTGCAGATCTTAAGAAAGAGGGCAGCTGGCTTGTCGAGGTAGGATTTAATTTCTGCAGCATGAAAGTTGGCATAACATGTTTTGTCAATGACTGAATGGCCGTTGTAAATAATCCCTTTCTTTGCACTAAAGTGAACTTGCAGAGGGACAAGGGCACCAAGATACTATCCTATTGAGAAAAAAGGAATAAAGACCCTTTCTTAAAAAAATTAGGCCCCAATAACTGTAGATTCAAACAAATTCTGCGTCCACCATGCCAAATACTCAGGGTGTTATGAAAGTGAACATGATCTTTGCAGTAAAATGAACATCCTAAGAGGTTAAAAAAAAAACCTGAAAAAATTCAGGCTTGACCAGGAATCACACCCTGGCCTTTGCTATGAGGCATTCTGAGTTTGTGTTATAACAGATGGTGGAAGTGACATAAATTGATTTATTTCATTTATTTCAATTCACTGAGGGTGTTAATTGAGAAAATTATAAAATTAAGGTAATAAATAAATATAAGAAAATTTGAATATATGAAAATCACATATATGATTTTCATATATTCAAAAGTTCATCATCATCCTTTCATGGGTTTATAACAAACCAATTCAATGACCTGCTCCCAGTTGGCTTGTTAGCTTAATTGGTAGAACGCTGCATCGGCATCGCAGAGCTCAAGGGTTCGAATCCCGTACAAGCCTGAATATTTTTCAGGCTTTCTTTTCGCAACTGCAAACGTTGCTTATATAACTGTGATGATCATCCTTCCTTTAATATCCAAACAATAAGAAAAAAATGCACTTTATTTGAGTGTCAATATATCTAGCGCAAAAGTACTAATAAATTGGTGAGCCAGGACTGCCTTTTTACGTGGTCATCCAAGCCACGTGAAGGTCATGCTGCTTGCAGTGCAAAAGGAGTACCTTCATTTCTCTGTTATTTTAAGACCCTGAGTATTGGTCTGGCCCCGGGAACCCAACCTGCGACCTCCCACTCAGCATTTATTAAAGCGCTCTACCAATTTAGCAAATCCTGCCTGGGTAAACCAACTGAGCTAATCCTGCCACGGTGAACAATGTGATAAAACCTGCCACTGTTTGGATACAAATTAGAAAGGAGTGCAACAGTTTTTGAAGTTGATCTTCCCTCCTCTCTAAATGATGTTTTCTGTTTTGCCAGATTAAAAAAAAAAATCATTCTCATAGAAGGTGGGCCAGTCCTCCAACTCCACAGTCCTTAATGTACATGTATTAGGAGAATTATTTTTATAAGAGTCATTAAGGCTATGTAAATATATTTTATTTTCTCCTTATCATGTCCCAGCAATATTATCTTTGTGCTTTTACATCTTTTTTTTTTTTGGCTGGATAGAGTTTGTGTAGCAAGAGACCCTTTTGTTGTTTTGATTAAATTGTAGTTTTATGCACCATGGTGTGGGTATTGCAAGAAACTTGAACCAATTTGGATGGAAGTAGGCAGGACTCTTCATGGTTCTGCTATTAAAGTGGCCAAGTTAGATGCTACCAGATTCTCAAGTATGACATATTTTAATAAATGTAGTTATTAAGTGTTAATAAATAATGAATTTCAATTTATTTATTATTTGCTTCCATAATAGATCATTACAAAAATGCATGTGAAAGCAAGCCGAGCTTTTTTCTGGTCACTGTTCAGCTATAAAGAGCTAAAACGTACCACAAAGCCATTTTCAGGTCATGCACTTTGCTGCTTTCTGATCGGCGATGAAAAAATATTAGCTTGCAAAGTTTGGGGATGTGAGGAAAGCAAAATTTTGAGATACTTGTTGGGTTTGAAAGTGACACAGGAGTCTTGACTTTTTCGTTTTGCTTTATCTTCTGCCCTCTTCTTCTACTTTTCTTGCCTCATTTTTTTCTTTTACTGGGCATTTAGTTGGCTTCATTTCAGTGGGAAAGGTTTTTTTGGGAAAGCTTTTATGATTAGATGAAGGAAAGGTACATGTAGGTGGGTATTGGAACAAGATTGTTCATGATTTTTGGGTCAATGTTACAATCATGAATTTTTGATTTTTTCTCTGGTCTCCTTGACTGAACCATGCTCTTTCTGGTATGGTTTGAAAGATGTCTTCATCCTGCACAGGTTAGTTGACAATGTTGTCCTTAACTATTCAAACTGATGACATCACAATTGGTAGAAGGAACGTTTGTCCACGTGGGTGTTACAAGCAGTTTAAGGGTGAATGGATTAAGTAATTGTTTAGATGTAAACTTTTCATAGGTTAATCATATCCATAACCCATTCGCCCCCTGAGCCGCCCATGCAGATCCACGTCCCTTTCTACCGCTTTTGTGACATCATCATGATAATCCCAAGATTCTAAAAGCTTTCCTAAAAACTTTTCCTACCAAAATGAAGCCTACTAAATGCTCAGCTGAGAAAAAAAAACGAGGCAAGAAAAGCAAAAAAAGTCCAGACTACTGTTACCTCTAAACCCTAAAACTCAAAATTTTGCTTTCTGTGCATGCCCGAACTTCGCAAGCTAATATTTTGCATCTGGATTAGAAGGCCGTGAAGTGTACGGCCTGTAAATGGCTTTGTGGTAAGTTTTAGCTCTTTATAGCACGACAGTGACCAGAAAACTGCTTGACTTGCTTCAAAACACATTTTCGGCAAAATCTCCAGGGGCAAATGGGTTAGTAAGTAATTTTGATAACTCTTTCAGGTATAGCAAGAGACTTTGGTATCAGAGGTTATCCTTCAATTAAATTGTGAGTATAGCCTACATAGCAGTCATCAAAAGGCCACTGATGACTTTCTTGTATGTGCCATAAATTTGTGTTCCCTATGGCAACCTGTTCTTTTAATTTTTGTTGACTTTCAATGATTCTTTCCGATGTATATTCTAGTTTGACCTGACCTTTTTCATTTTGACCTGAAAATTCTATATTTTACTCCCATGAATACTGCAGTGTTAGAGGAAAGCGTATAATCACCTTTGAAGGAGAACGCACAGTTCAAGATATTGTTCAGTTTGCTGAGCGAGCCAACAGGTAACTCAATCATTTTTTTCCAGTCCATAAACCCACCGTAAATTGTAAATGACGGAAGATGCTGTTAACTTGAACTCAGTTAACTCAAATTCTTGACTAACTCAAGTTAATTAAATTTACCTTTCCTTTTGGCTTTATTTTCTATTTTTATTTCTATTTTACCTTGAAAACTTATCCCCCTCGACCCACCCCCATTTCAAGCTTTTGGTAGTTTCTCTTGGGTTGTGCAACTTTTGCTCTCACCATATGTTTTACGTAGTCATACACTGCGTATTCCAACGACCACCATCACATATCGTATAATCAATCACTTGATGTTTATTGATACTAAAATTTGTAGCAACTGAAGCAATTATATTATTCGATCTGAAACAGAGCAATACAATTCGTCGTTACGCAACTTACTTATAATCTCTAGAGCAATGATTTCACTGAAAAATACCTCAATAAGAAACTCTAATTTCACAATCATGCTTTACTCACTTCTGTGGCGGGTCGTAGCTTAAAAACGGGTTAGCCGTAAACTGGTTAGCTTGAATCTCTTGTACTGGTGAGCACTACCGGTTAGCAAAATACTTCTGATTGAAACCCGACAATGTGTAAAACAGTATAAAATCTAGTAATCTCAAAATGTCAATCAATGTCCTTAATCTTTAAATAACTAAAATCAATGTTTGTAATCACGAGTTTATTTCTGGTTCTGTTAACGAAACACCATAAATAACCTGTTCAATGTTAATTTTTTTAAAACTATAGTGGAACCCCGCAAATACAGTCACCAATGGGCCAAAAATATTGGCTGTATTAACAGGTGACCATATTAACGAGGGTATTCTTACAAGAAAATGTATGGCCATTTTGTGTGGTTGTAAGGCGGGATTTTACTGTATATGTTACAGGTCAATTTGATTTCAGGTTAAAAGTTTTTAACCTGGATTTATTCTCTAATGTTTCCTTTGCATTTGTTACAGGTCAAAATTAAATTCAGGTTAAAATTTTTGACCTAGGTTGATTCTTCATTGATTCATGGTTTAAGGCTAGGAGACAAAGAAAGTTGAAAATCAACCTAGGTTAAAAAAGTTTAACTGGAATTTAATTTTGACCTGTTTCATATTCTATGGTTCGGAGACACTGGAAATTGACAGTCAACCTACAATCAGTGCCAAAATTAGTTGGAACACTTCCCTTGAATAATGAAAGGTCCTCTCCAACGTTTTGCTAACTCAAAAAAGGTAAAATAAAGCTGTCCCTCCCCCATCCCTTCCGCACAATGGTTTGACACTGTTTGAGCTACCTGTAGAAAACAACAAAACACCTCTATCTACTTCGAACAAATGGTAGGGTCGAGGGCTGTGGATTGGTTTTCTTCTCTGATGCTACCCAATTTGAGGACAATGTCCCAACAATTTTGTAGCTGATTGTTGGTTAAATCAAAATTAAGTCAGATTTTGACCTGTAACGTACATACAAGTAATGTATTGTGGTCTCTTTGTATCAGGCCTGCAGTAACAGAGCTTCATAACACGGAGCAAGTGGAAAGAGTAAGAAAAGAGAAAAATGTTTGCTTTTTCCTGGTAACAAGCAATGAGAATTCTCAATTGTCAGAGAAAATGAAGGTAATATTTGAATTTATTATTGGTTGAGTTTGTTGGAAGACAATAATGATCATTAGATTTGACTATGAATACAATATTGAGTACTGGTATATGTATGACTCTGGAATTTGGGGCAAATGGTATTCCTTAACTCTTTAAGTCCCAATATCCACATACAAATTCTCCAAACTGGTCTCCATACATTTCCTATAAGAATTAGTTGAGAGAGAATTTGATAAAAGATCAAGGTATTTTCTCTTTGATGATCATCTTATAAACTCTCATAACCTTTTCTCTTGCCAATGAAAGGACATCTTTAGGAGAAAATTGATGTTAATCACTATTGGGACTGAAAGGGTTAAACTACATATATGTATACCTCTTTCCTGTTGTTCACTTAATAATGAAAGATTGGCGTGATAAGTAAAATTCTATTTGAGGCACAGGCGTTTGGCTTGAAAATTCTTACTTGAAATTGTTCACCATCTCGTACTTGTAATCCAATCTAAAAAGTCCCCATTATGATATTGAATGAGGTAGAAGTGTTTGAAGACCGCTTATCATCCATTTCTGTCAATCTCTAGTCACAGGCATAATCATTTTATTCACCTTTATAACAGCTATAGATATCAGGTAGATTGACCAGATGAAATGACTATAACCGGGCTAAAAAATCGTAGCATGCTGTAGATTTCGGGAAAAAAAAAAAACAAAAACAAAAACAAAACGTTTTTTTGACGTTTCTTAAACTGAATAAATTCTTTCTTCATGAAAGCTGCCTTTCCCAGTTGCCCATTTATGAGTTCCCCATCACAGTATAATATCAAACTTTTATGATTTTCTTGAGGTGCATGCTCTAATTTTTATTACTAGAGAACTTGTAAGTATAAATCTAATTAATTTACAATTATGATTTTCTCCTTCTATTAGAATATTTATTCTGAAGTTGCAGAAAGTAGAGTCATTCAAAGTTATTTTTATCATATTGACCTTCAAGTATTGCCTAAGGTAAGAACAAGGTTTCTCTGCATGCTATGGTTTATTTTTTGAGTGAGAAAGGTGACCTTCCACTCTGTTTGCATGTATGTGCATGTCATTTTGCTTCATTGTTTTCCATCTCTAGTGTTCATATTCAATTTGAATAAACTTTGAACTAACACATTTAGTAGAAATTATATTGTTGAAAAAAAGAAAGAAAGGCATTTTATTTGAGTTTGCATGTTTTGTTTTCACGAAAGTGCTTATTGAGGACAATACTTTTACGTCTCCAACTGGAGACAGGACTGACATTTTACATGGTCATCCGAGCCATGTGAAGGTCTAGCCGTTTGCAGGGCAAGGCAGTACAATACCTTCATTTCTCAGTCATCAGATCTAAGTATTGGTCTGCCCCTTGGGGATGAACCCATGCCCTATATTTTACAGCCCTGAATGCATCTGACCCCAAAAATTTGTTGGGGGATCAAAGTATTCCCTTGGTGATCTTTTATAATGTTTCTCAAAACCTTTCCTCTTGATTAGGTATTAATATTTGTTAGGAGAAATTTAAAGTTGGTCACTCTAGGGACTTTGAGGGTTAACTAGAAAAAATTCCCTTCTATAGGATGTTCAAGTAAAAGCACCAGCCATTTTAGTTTCAAAGGATGATTCCTTTTTCTCATTCCAAGGTGAGTTTACAATATTGATTGTTTACTTCAAATGCATGGTTTGTGTGCAGTAGTATTACTTTATTTCACAAGTTCCGAAATGTCGATTTCATTAGTTTTTACATGTTTTGTTAATGTTTGTCAACGAAATATACAACTACTGTCTTCTACCCCATACGAAAATTAATAGTCAATTACAATTCTCACTGATTGGAACCTATGGAGTTGAATTTTTTTATTGATCTGGTGACGATCTTTCTCCAAAAAAATAGTTTTTTTTTTTTACCAGAAGTGAAGCCACAATAATTTATTTTGTTTATTATTAATTTCTTGGAAGTGTCTGAGGATGTTAGTGAACAGAATGTATCTGATTGGGTGAATAATGAGAGATTTGAAGGATTTGTGCATGTAACGAAGTCCAATTTTCACGACATTGCTGCGACTGGTAGGTTATTTCTTTATTAATTTGTTTATTTAATTATTACAATTAGCACATTAACTATAAAACATTAATGCTTTCACTGTTCAGAATTTAAAGTAGCTGTATCAAGCAAAATCAGCCCTTAAGAGCCTTGATAATCAACACAGCAATTACAAAAGAACACATAGATAGGCAAGTCGAAGAATAATAGATTGCAATGATATGTACCAGCCTCCCATACCAGTTTTTCAAAGTTTATCTCTTTTGTTTGAATCGAGACATTTGTGAGACACTGATGAATTGTTGGACAAAAAAGTGTAATTTTGTCATAATTCAAAAGGTATAAAGATTTTGCAGATAATGGTTTTTATGATAAATGACAATAATGTTGGCTATTCATTATAAAATCAGTTTCATTTGATTCTCACTTCCAACGTATTGGGACCTAATTTTGTTGTCAACTGTTGCTGTTGTTGTTGTGTTTTGAATTTAACACCAGTGGCTGGTCCAGGGGAGGGGCCCTGGGGGCCTGGGCCTCCCTTTTTTTCAGAGCAATATGAGGCCCGAAGGGCCGGAAAACTTTTTTTTGAGACCACCCCCACCCCACCCCACTCCAACTTTTTGGATTGACCACATGATCAACGTTTAACTTCTCCTTGCTGGTAATGACAGTGCTCAATTTTAAAACATTACCAATGGACTCAGTTGAGATAAAACGAAATCATCAACAAGTGAAAAAGGTCTTGATTGTCAAACAAATTCTTACCCTTAAGTACCATGGCTATAATGTGCAGTGCCTAGAGTATGCCTGTGAACATTTAGGATTAAAAGGGTTAACGATTTTTTTTTGTGGTGACAGGTAAGGTAATGATGCTTGCCATCCTTGCTGAAAAGAAGAAAAAGAACAAGCTCAATGAAAGGTGTGTTCAGTGTTCAGCACAAAAATATCAAAGGAGCAATTTATCCCTACGTATGGTAATCGGGATTCCCGGCCTGGGAAAGTTTTTGCTTGTAGAATCTGGAATCAGGGAAATTTTTTTGGAAGAATCCGAAATGCTGGGCTTTGGAATCCGGAATTTAGCTTAATTGATTGGAATCTGAAAATATTATCAGGGGCACCCAACGGCAATTTTCGGGAAAATATCTGTTCGAAAGACGATTTGAGAACTAGAATTTTCGGAACATTTGTTGTAAAATTTCTTGCTTGCCTGCCTCTCCTAGGATTTTCGAACATCTACAAAATGGTATAATTACCCATTTTAAACGGATATTTACCCTAAAAAAGGCTACCTAGAATTTTCGGGAGCCTTTTCCTGGCTGAAATTTTCGAAAAGGTAAGTTTTGATCCCTATAATTTTCGGATCACTAGACTTTCAGCTAGGATATCCGAACAGATGAAAAGTTTTTAGGGGATAAAAATATGCCTATATCTACCGTTTAAATACTAAAATACGTTCAACAATGCTATGTTAAGTGGTTTTGAACTATATCCTCGTTGGGTGCCCCTGTATTATCCAAGTTCCAAAGACAAGAAGTTAATCCAGTACCTGGAATCCAGAATGAACAACATGAAATACAGAATCCAAGACTATCTTGGATTACCTTACAGTAATTACCATGTATCTTTTTGCTTTGAATTTGATTTTCTGTCTGGGAAAAAAGAAAAAAAAAATCTGAACAGGCTAAGTAGACTTTTCAAAAAAATCTATCACATATTGTTTTGTCCTCAGTATATGGGCATTATTTTCAATAGATCGTTTTCACCCACGGCATGGCCAGCTTCAATGTCAATTTACTGGAACAAAAGAAAGCGTTTACATATTAAAGAAAACAGTTAAACTCGCACAGCATATTCTTGGTACACGAACATGGCCGTCGTTTCATTGTTTTGGAACGCCAATATGGCCACCGTGACGTCATGTGAAAACGCTCTATATTTTGCAAGACTGTTGTAAACAACTATCGCATCATTTTCAGTGCACTTTGATATACTGCGACTTGAATGTTAACTTGCCTTTCAACTAATTTTTCAGAGTGAGCGAAGTTGTTAAGAATGTTGCAATTAAAGAAAGGGAAAAATTCCACAGGTAAGCACATTTAAAAGTACTATGTTCAATAGACCTGTTGCATCAATAGGACTTTGCTCAGTGCACAACATCAGTTATAACTAAGATTTACTCATAATCGTAGCTGGAACTAACATTGTGATAACGTTTGCAGCAATGCTTACAGAAAGCTTGGTCTGTGGTTGTTGTGAAAATGAGGACCTCTGAAAATGAAGACCTTAGACCACCTGAAAATGCAGATGTACAGTGATGAAGATCCCGTCCTCCCTCCCCTTTCCCCCTTTTTCCCTCTTGAAATAAGATTAGAATGTTGCGACAACTGGTGTCAAATTACTACTCGGTAATCCTTTATAATAACCTGTTGAATTTTTGTTTCAGATTCTTTCAGTTTGGTTGGATGTTGGGAGATAGTATAGCATCCAACATTATGATGAGGTAACAAAAGCAAATGATTGAATCACTTGTAATTATCATCGCAGGCCTGCATAAAATGGGTGGCAATAAACATAATGAAACCTGTATTTAATATGTAATATTCCCAAATCCACAAACAAATTTTCAACCGTGATCTTAATACATTTCCTTTAAGAATTATTTGAGAGAATTTGAGAGAAGATGAAAGGATTTACTTTAGGATAGCCTGCAGTGCGGGCGTTTTCTTTGAGCGCGCAATTTGCTCGTGAAAGCGCCGTGTTGAAACTTCCCGAAGAGAGGAGGAGATGTATTTCCTCCTCCCCTCCCCCTCCCCCCTTTCCTTCTTTCGCCCTCGCACCTACCGTAAGGGTTACTATTTCTACTCTCCCCAATCAGTTCCACCGTCGTAAAATCAAAGATGGCTACAACAATATTGCGAACACGGACAAGGTTTCGCCCACCAAAAATACGCCTGGACTGCAGGCTATTTACTTTAGGATGATCATTTTATTAATTCTCATAACCTGGATCTCTGAATTTAAGCCCCTGCAAACGGAAGCAACATTTATTGTTGGATGTTACTATTTGCAGCCGTTCGCACACCCTATTGCATGTTGTTTCGCATTGTTGGCATTTGCTGCGCAGAGTATGAAGCGGTCAAACTTTTGAGTCAACAACTCCCAACATTTCTTTTGTTCAGTGATCGTCGAAGCATCGCTCAACAATGTTGGATCCGTTTGCAGAGCTCTTCCAACATTGTTAGGGTCGCATAGGCGCATTACACATGGTTTACAAAGACTTATGGGCTATATCCTTCCCACGATGCACTGCAGGTCCCAGCATTGTTGGGAGTTGTTGTATCCGTTTCCACACCACTGCCAACGCGGATGCAGCAACTCCTAACATTGTTGGCCCAACAATGTTGGGAGTTGTTGCGTTCGTTTGCACGTAGCATAAGGAGAGCATTGATGTTGGTCACTTTTGGGACTCAAAAAAAGCTGTTGAGAGAAAGTAAAGTTATAACTGACTGGTATTTAACATATTAATCCTCAGGACGAAGAGTGGCAATACTATTTTTTTTTTCTTTTTGAAATCGTTAAAATGAACCCCCTACGAAGTAGTATTAAAACAATACGAAAGCCAGTGTTTATTAACTTAACTCCTCTCAAATCAATTTTTTCTCAGTTCACTACCTGCACCTTATCTTATGGCATACAACACTACAGATCAAGTTTATTATTTAAAGCAGTATTCAGAAATCAAAGATGAATTCACGGAAGAACAACTTGTGTCCTTCCTTGAGGATGTATTGGAGGGGCGTGCAAAGGTATGATGTATATTAGAAGGGGTTGACGACCATGACAGCGATGACCGTGAAGCCCGGGGGTTACTCCCTAAAATAGCCCGTAAAGGAAGGTCCCGCCCGAAAGGGCTACCTTTTTCAGGCTTCAGGTATTTTATTTATTTATTTTTATTTGTTTACATTTGCCACATAAAATGAATACTACAGAAAGAAAATGAAAAAAAATATATATAAATATATATATATATATATATATATATGTTGCATAAAAAAACGGTCCTTGTAAAAAAGCGTCATTTTTATGTAAAAAAGCTGCTTTTTTACAAATTGAGCGGTTGTAAAAATACTGCTTTTTTACAAAAATATATTTTTGTAAAAAAGCAGCTTTTTTACGTAAAAAAGCTGCTTTTTTACAAGTTACATGGTTGTAAAAATACTGCTTTTTTACGTAAAAAAGCTGCTTTTTTACAAGTTACCTGGTTGTAAAAATACTGCTTTTTTACAAAAATATATTTTTGTAAAAAAGCAGCTTTTTTACGTAAAAAAGCTGCTTTTTTACAAGTTACTTGGTCGTAAAATATTTTTGTAAAAGAGCAGCTTTTTTATGTAAAAAAGCTGCTTTTTTACAAAGTATATTTTTGTAAAAAAGCTGCTTTTTTATGTAAAAAATCTGTTTTGTTACAAAAGGTATTTTTGTAAGAAAGCTGCCTTTTTTATGTAAAAATCCTGCTATTTTACACGTATAGACTATTTGACAAACTCATTTATCGAAGACAGGCTGTTTTCCATAGCATGGTTCGAAATTTATTGAACTGTAGTTTTCGTGCGGCTAGTCACGTTCACGTTCCCGTGTCCCCTTTATTGTGGGGCATTTAAATTCCCTTGTTAACTCGCTGACAGCGTTACAAATTTACGTTCTTTTTATTCTTTTTATTCTTTCTTCTTGTTTCCTTTGTCATTCAATTTTCCAGGACCTTCTAATTGTTGGATGCGAAGAAGGAACAGGCAGTAATTTCATTTGTTATGCTTATCGGCTGAGGTCACCCACGGCAGTAACTGCATGTTAGGCAATAATAGAATAGCTGGGTTATTCACTGTCTTATTTATAAGCAATGCCTGTCACAATCTCTTGCAGCAACCAAAAACTTCTATTCTCTCCTTCATTGCTACTTTTGTTCAAGCCGAAAACTGTACAGAATATTGTTCTGTATTATTTATCTATTTTCCCAAGGTTATCAGCTGCAATGATCGGTTTAACTGTCAACAAAATACTTGGCTATAATGCTTTGGTGCTCTTAGCAGTGGATAAATAAATTTTAACTCCATTTCTAGCATAAAATCTCCAGCAAGAATCAACGACAGCAATTGTTAGGCAATTTCCTGTATTATGTATGATGCGCTAAACTTCTGTCACGGGATTCATGCTATGTTGAGATCCATGTTGATGCATGCAAGATTGTCATGTCTGCGTTACAACTTTAAGCTTTCAACATGATGTAGGAACATGTTCAGTCGGCTAATCAAGCAAAAGGAAACGCTAGTCTATAGCTACAAGCGTACATACACTCGCTTGTTAGTCTAATTTTTGCAATACACAGAGCAACTTTATAAGGCCATAAAAACAGCAGCCGATTTGTTTATAACAATTAGGGACTATAAAGGCGGTCTGTAACGTACGGCAATGCGTGTTTTATTTTAGAGATCGAGAAATAAGCCCGAAAACACTTGTAAAGGCTAAACAACTTTAATATGAACACAAGCTGAATTCGCCAGCAACATTTAGTGTAGGACCGTTTTTTTACAAAATATATTTTTGTAAAAAAGCTGTTTTTTTACAAATATATATCAGTGTAAAAAAACAGCTTTCTTACGGTACCGTTTTTTTACACAACATATATATATATATATATATATATATATATATATATATATATATATATATATATATATATATATATATATATATATATTTGCTAAGATTCAGATAGAGTGGCGAGGAAGCCCAGTAGAAGCTAAATAGCTTGTAGAAAATTGGGCTCCTCATATGATGTCGAGCTGTCATATCACGGTCAGGCGAGTTTGATTTATAGCTCTCTCGATGAAAGGGTAGGGAAATTTGGGACCTTAAATTTGTATTTTGATTTTTGTAAATATCTTTTTAGGGATATGGCGGAGATTCCTATTTCCAGAGGTTGTACAGAGTAAGTTAACCTCAGACATGAACGGTTGCTTTATCTTTTTCCTCTTGTCAAAGCGTGGTTTTGATATTTTAAATAGATGAATTTTTAATTTCTTGCAGGGAATTTGGGACCTAATAAAGACAATTTATGTAAGTTGATAATATGTACAATTACTTATTACTTTAAACTGAGCTTGCTTCGTGAAGTAGAGTGCTTACGAAACAACGACAAGGCCGGTAGTGAGAAAGTCACTAGTAAACTAAAAGTGAATTGGTATCGCTTTAAACTTCCGGCGCGAATTTCCAGATCACTTAGCTGGATAGATACACCGGTTGACACTTTGTTTTTGCAGACCAAGAGATGATTTTGTGAATAGACATTTCTTGCTTTTTACGGGAACTAAGTTTTGAATTTGGTCGTGTCTGGTTTTTCTCTTTGAAAACAAAGTTTTGTTAATTTTTGGTAATTCGTATGTTCAGTATTTGAGTCACAATACAAGCAAAACAACATCCGAAAAAACAGTATACTGTTGTTGTCTTTAGTTCACGACGACAGCTACGACAACGGGAACAGCAAAAAAGGCAAATAGATTTAGGCTACATTCACAAGGTACCGGTCGAGCTTTCGGGGTGCGTTCCTTATTTGAGATGATCCGGGTAAGGATCAGTGATCTGCGATCACTCGAATCATGGTAGATCAAATGAACCGATGAATTCTTGTCCAGAGTGGATTCGATTAGTACGGCCACCGCCTCTTACAAAAACCTGGATCTACCCTTGAGTTTCTGAACAAAAATGACGTTATGTGTATTTTATTTGTCTAATATAGGAGATCTGGACTACCCAACCGATTGCTGCATTAGTCATGTTTGGCTTCCCGTTGCTTGTGTTTTCATTTGTTATTTATATGCTGTGTATTGCTGACCCTGGGCCCGAAGAGGAACTCGATGAAGATGATGCTGCCGAGTTTGACGATGGTGACCACGAACAGACTAATAAAGAACCCAAAGAATCCGACGAAGAAGCCGAATCTGGTGCAAAACCCAAAACAGAATGATTTTAAAACTTTTAGCAATTAAGGATAAAATATTTAAGCTTTTGACAGATGGCTTGCCTTTCTGTCCACGCATGCACTGTTTTTCTACATCACTTTTTCTTTCTAAATAAAAACTCATTAGAGGTGATGTTACACGGGACGATTCGCAACGACGATTTTTAGCGCAATGCAACGTTGCAGTATTGTTGCAACATTGTTTCGAATAGCTGCAACATTATTCCAACATTGCAACGCTGTGTTCCGCTAAAAATCGTCGTTGCAAATCCCCGGGGGGGGGGGGGGCACTGCCATATATGGGCTATATAGGTATGTGCCGCTGTGAAGGGTATGGTTTTCAAGCAGTTTACTCTAGGATAGGGTATATAAATCAGAGCGTTTGGGTCTAGAATAGGGTATCATTTTTCAGGAAACTGATCAGTTGGTTGAAGATTTTATCTAGACTAGGTAAACAGCTACTCTAGGATAGGGGGATTTGGGGAGTTTACTCTAGTATAGGGTAGCAAAATTCAGCTGAACTAGCTCTGGTATAGGTTAAGGGTTCCAGGGTCCCAGCGGCACATCCCCACCCAGAAATTCCTAAAGTGCCCCCCCCGGGTGCAAATCGTCCCGAGTAACTTTACCTTAAAGGGACTACGCCGCGTTAATTTTCTTGTCTTTTTAAAACGCTAAAATCTGTCTTCACCTCAATTGAATTTCAAACATAAGTCCAGTTTTGTAATTCAAGACTATATTAAGGCCAAAAAAACAAAAAAATATACTGGTTAGTGAAACTGTTCCTGGTCGTCTGTTTCATCGGTTGGCAAGATGGACATGGAAAAGTTGGGCAAACATTTTCAATTTTGAATGCTATGGCTGCAAAAATCACCTTAAGTGATTGTGGTTAGTGCTCACTGATTAAATTTGTCTGATATCTTCAGGAGCTATTGTGAATGGGAAAGGGCATCAAATAACGATTTTAGCACGGAAAATAACCTCGTGTCATAGCCCCTTTAAGACGAAAGCTATGTTCATACTATAACGGCTAGCTTTTTGTGCCAACACGAGAAGCTAAACTGGTATAGTTTGAACATCTATCCAATATGTGACTCTCCAATTGGCCCGGCGCAGCTTCGCTCCGTCATGAAAATCGCATCAAAATCACCGTTCTTATGTGTGTACGGAAGCCATATCCGGTATGGTGCTCCTTCCGGCACAGAAGCTATGCGGTACATAGCAAGCCAAAAGACCAGTGGAATAATTATTGTGGCTAGAAAGATGTACGGGTCCTCTACAACACGGCGTTGGAAGTTTTTGATCCAGGACCAAAAACTTGCAATGCAAAAATTCCGCAGAAAATTGATCTTCAAGAACTTCCAACTCTATATTGCTCTCAAAATCGTTGTTGGAAATCTTGTTGTGTAACATCACCTTTAAATCTTTGTTGTTGGTTTGTTTTTTTATTCTCTGAACCTACAAGTTACTCTTGCTGGAACAACTTTGGTTGTATAAATAAAGAATAAAGTTAATACAATACATTGTTTATTCATTCAAAGAGTAGTTGAGGAAGCGAGAAGTGACTCAAAACTCTAAGGAAGGTTGTTCATAGTCGTCTTGTTTCCCGTGGAACTGTTGAGGCCAATCACTGAGTTAGGGAGGCTCCTGTTTCCTTACAGCAAACGAAAATTAGATCGGAAATTACAAGGGATGGGAATGCCCTTGCCTTAAGGCTGTGAAGTTTGTGCCCCTCTGTGATCAACCTACACTGTAGACAATCACGTGAATAATACAGAACTAACAATAATCTAGCATTGAAAGGATTCCAAAACTCACAGCTAAATAATTTGACATTCAAATATTTTGTTCAAACTCCTTGACCTTAATCATTGATGTGAACTGATCTCTTGAGACTACATAACTTACAACAAAGTCACCTGTACTCGACTGATAAGTTCAGATCGCTGATGAAGATCAAGAGAATCAAACAAAAAATAATATCTAACAAAATGTCACACTAATTTGCTCTGAGTATTAGAACTCTTTCATTGCTAAAGTCTTTGCCAGAGCAGTAAAACAACATTTTGAGGAAGTGAACAACCTACAATCCTGGGCAAAATTAGTTGGGAAGGTTATACAACTTAACAGCAGCTAAGAGGTAAAGTAGAAGCCTTTCCCAACACTTTTGACAACGATTGTAGCTTAGAGAGAGTCAAACTGTAGTCAGTAATGTTGACAAGAGATTGCAACAAATGAAGTTCAACATTTATTCACAGATTATTTCTTCTTAATAGCATCTTGCTCGGCTTGTTCCTTTGCTCTCTTCTCTCTGATGCCAATCAGCCTGGCATTAGCACGTGCAATACGCATGCTCTTGAACACACTGGTATTCTTCTCCTCATCTGTGATCTTGCGAGCCTTGATTGGCAGGCGTGATGGTTGGATGGGTATAACAGGACCTTGCAGTTGCTTGGCATTGGAAAGTTCAGCAGGCTAAAGTAAAGCAAAGAACAAGGACACATTACTTCAATCTGCTCACTTCCGAGTCATTCACTGTCCTTGAATAGGCTCTATTCCTGATAAAGTGCCTCAGCAGGAATGCCACACTGATGACATGCCGCTACCCAAATCTAGGTAATGCTTCTGATTGGTTGAAGCAAATTTCCCTCACAGCATGACCAATCAGTAGCACTAATAACCAGACCTGGGTAGAGCTTTTGATTGGATTTCCTTTATGGAATGAGCAATCAGAAGCACTACTTGGATCTGGACACTCCTTCAATTAAGTAAATACAACACAATTTGAACAACATTAAACATCATAGAACAGCAGTCTGGGTTCTTTTAAGCCTTCTTTAAACTGAAGAGTGGTCTGAAGGAGACAAGGCTAACAGCTTAACATCACTGGACCCAATGCTACCATCAACTGAGAAAAGGTCTTAAAGAAGATGTGTCATGAAAATAATCAAAGTTCAAACCATGGGAACTGCCACTAAACTGAGTACAACATAAAAAATATGAAAAGAAGGTATAAATACCACAGGAAATTAATACAAAAGGGGGAGCAGGCAAACAAACGGGACAAGATTGAAATGGATTGCAATTGCTCAATACATACCTCACTGTCTCCCTGCTTGGGCTTGCTAGCCTTCCTTGGGAAGACAATTAGTTTGCTCTTGTACTCCTTCAACCTTTGAACATTAGCTTGAAGGGATTCAGCTGATCTGTTTTTCCTCCTATGATCAACTGCAATACCGATTGTGGGAGCAACTTTGCGTGAGATACCAGCAGTCTGAAATGAAAACACAGTGTCATGTAAACATTTGACAGATCTGTCATTTCAATCCCCCAAAAAATAAACCTTGAGACAAAAAAAAGAATAAATAAGGATAACAAAACAGGGCAAACCAGAAGCTAATACCTCTGAAAAAAGAATACTAATCCATGTAGAAATTAACAGACATTATTAGTGGGATGGATGGTTACTTTAAGATAAGTAGGTTTTTTAATTAAAGCCAAGCCAACACAATTTGTGCACCTTCAACAGTACTCCATATATTCAGCCAGTGAAATTAGCCAACAACTGACTATTCGCTACATCCCTGCTCATGATAATTATGCCTTGATAGTTTACTTCACTTAATTATGCTTGGGATAATATTCTGGAAATTTTCAAGACTCCTATGCTGATCATCGATAATTGCTGATGATTGATTGTGAAAATATTAAGCCTTGTGATAATCGATCATGCTAAAAAATGCTGAAAGTTGTGCAGAAAATTTGGTCAAAACTTGTCCCCCCAAACATAGTACACTCCTGCTCATTTTTTAAACAGTACGTAGTAAATAGATTTCATGCTGATACATTTTAGAGCGGAGGAGGGGGTTAACCAGACATTTTTTTGTCTGTTCACAGCTAGATTGGCCTATAACTAAGGGAAGGGGGGGGGGGGGGGGTGCTTATAAGTGGAAGTTTACAGCATCTATTTCTGTGACTTCAGCATACCGAGATACGTCCAATCTGTTTTCACATGTACAGAACTTAGGCATGACAATAAAACAGAAGCCTACCTTCAGCTCCTCCAGAGTAAAGCCTCGACCAGCCCTTATCTTGGTGTTGTACTTGAAGGTTGGACATCGGACAATAGGTCGAAGAGCACCAGCAACAGGTCGGGGAGCAATCTGAAGAGCCCTCTTCTGACGAGCAACACGTCTGCGCTTCTTACGTCCAGGCTGATCAAACCATGTCCTCACATAGTTTTGCCACTGTTTGTGGAAGTGGTTGTTGTGTATCATATTGTTGTGTTTTGGAGCCATGGTGGCAAGGTTGTGGTTTTAAACCTACAAGTAAAATAGTCAAACGAAGTCTGCTTGTTAGTCACTTACAATCAAGTTAAACAGAGTTTCACGTTTGAGAGGGGACAAATTAAGAGGATAAGCACTGCTTGCAAGAGGCAAAGGAATCAAGCCTTCACGAAGAAGGCTTGGCAATCCTTAGATCTTACAGAGCTGAACTTTTCAGCAGAGTTAAACAGTCTCATGTTTGAGCGGGGACAAAAGGGATAAGCACTGCTTGCAAGTGGCATAGGAATCAAGCCTTCACGAAGAAGGCTTGGCAATCCTCAGATCTTAGAATACTGAACTTTTCAGCAGAATCGCCTTCCACCATACAACACAGATTTTGTATACGTGTGAATAGATTTTGTAGTTATCTGAGTAACAGATCAAGTGGTAGAGAAAGGGTCAGGAAATTTTGAACATAGTTATAATTTGCGATGTAAATACCTCAATACTAATTTTTAATTACTTGTAATATTTTAGTACTGTAAAATTAGTTACTGTACAATGATAATAATAGTAGTATTGTATTTCTTATCATTATTCTATTTTAATTTCTTGGTACGGCCCCATAAGCTTTTCAGCTTTAATTACTACCATGGATAAATAAAGTTTACTGATTGATTGATTGATCTGCATCTTTAAAACTTTCTACAAAAACACAGTCTCCCGCATTTGTTAAGTACTACAGTGTATCGACCAAGTCCAAAAGCAACTGCCCGTCAAGGTGCAAGCTGCATTATCACATGATAGTGAGAATTGATTGCAACATTGCTAGTTTCTGGTAGGGTTGATAAACATGATGTCATTGTAGGAGGAGGGGGCTAATGAATCTTAAAGACACCCCAGTCCAAGGTAAAAATTCTGCACCCTTTGGAAAATCCCAACTGCATTTCCCTCTGCTTTATGCAAGATGATATAAACCAAGTACCAAATGCTATGGCATGGTCAACATCTACTGCTAATTTACTTGATTACATTAAAATAATTTCATGTGTTTCTGTTGTGGCGTTTAGTGAAGGACAATAATTGTTCATGGAGGTGTATATTTTTCAATCGCATTTTTAAAATAATGTCAGTGATAAGGCTAAATCATCTGCAAATATTATGTAAAATGGAGAAGTGACTTAAGTTCCAAAGTCTTGCTTTTTTGATGAGATGTACAATGTACTTGTAATTATCTGGATGGTGTGGATTATCAAGTTGTACCAATTATATTTCCTTATGATCCTAAAATAAATGTGCATTCTTCTTCAGCATTCATTGGTAATCTTACTTCCATCTGCAGGGTTTAATAGAGGGCTGTAATGTTTAATCCAGTAAATAGGGCCCGGTTCAGACACTGCTCCCCTCATGTGCCGAACCTAACTGATGAATTAAGTACGGCAAAAGAGCGGCGTCTGAATCAATTTGGTCGGCAGTTTTAGTTTGGTGCGGCAAAAGCATTAAGTTCGACAGAGTCTGTCGAACTTTTGTCGAACTTAACTTAGGTTCAACACACGGTACGTCGTCTGAATCATATGTCGCGCCAGTGTCGCTCCAAAGTCGAACTTATTCAGTAAGGTTCGGCACATGAAAAGTACAGCGTCTGAACCAGGCCTAAGGCAGTTACGAGAGAGCAGTGTAGAGGCTTGATGTCATAGAACGAAAAAAACATGTGCTAAGCCCATGGGAGAGACCAAGAAAAATCCACAGTGGTCCTTCCCATTGTCTCCCAAACAAAAAGGGAAGAAGGACAGCTGATCTCAGGTTAAGACAACTTCACGTGAACAGTCTATGAAAATTAAGAACAAGATTAAACACACATTGTTCAAGTTAAACAAAAACAATGTGTATTTAAACATGTCCTTCATTTTAGTTAAGATACAAGCTGCTCAAATGTAAAGACACTCAAAACTTTTAAGACAACAGATCAAAAATTTAGCAGTTTAAGTTTATTCGTTAGTCGGATCGAGAAGTTGACACAAGAGAACGCAACCATATCACAATGATTAGTTCAAGCACCGGTCTCAAAACACTGGACGTGATAAGAAATTTACGATTTATAAAGTTTGATTGTAACATTTTAACTGTATAACTATATTTCTTCATATCTAGTTTTAGAAATAACTTCTACGATTGCACTGTCTCAGATTAGAGTGGGCCAAAAGAACTGGCCACGACAGTTTTTAGACAAAATAAGTTATCTACTGCGTATTATAATTACCCTTTAATCAAAGTAACTAAAAAATTTAGAAGGAAACTAAATGATGCACGAGAAAAACGATGGATTATTTCAAGACACTGACCTTACTACCAAAACTATACCACAACACAAGGAAAGAGGACGAGAAAGAAGGGACCTGGTGCATTGTGGGACAGCTATTACCGGCCAGCGGTATTTTTCGTGGACATAGAAATTTACGAGAAATTTCAGATCACATGTAATTTTGTTGTAAATATTCTTTGAGTTATAGCTTTTTATATTGTAGTATGTCTGGACATAAAGTAAAGAAAGACTCAAAAGATCCTGCCGCAGCAAATGGATCAGTTTCCGCTACAATGAAAAAAGCTTTAATGTCAAATTCTACTTGGGAGGACAAGGTAGGCTTAAGCATGCACGCGAGCGAGAGTTCTCGAACGAACTCATTCTGATACGAGTTTGATTTGTCGTTCTAAAAGATTTATGACGAACGTAAAGGTCAGCTTGTAAGACTAGCTTATCTGCCTGAGGCTCGTTAACACCTTTTTTGATAATATGCTAATGATCGTAGATTCTCGTTGTTAGTTAAACAGCATTCGCATTGTATAATAGTCATCAAATAATAATATTAATTTTACTTAAAAGCAGTAAGCCACAAGTCTGGGAAGATCTGTGGTTTGTTACGACCAGAGCAGATCTCTCTTTTTATGTAAATGGATAGGAGATCTGCAGTTCCACACACAGTGTGCCCAGTCACTTAGTCGTAGGTAATTTTTTTGCTTGAAGGTCCCTTTGCAGAGAGGAGGTGGGAGAGAATTGTCTTGTGTCAACTTTAGGGATTAGCTGCCGTGAAAGGGTGGATTGTCAAATATGAGATAAAGGATAAACGATAATATTTTATTAGATGGAACTCCTCTAGAAAAGGATGTAAAGTGACTGAGTGAGACCTTTAGGATGAGGTCTTTGTGACTAATTTTAAGACAAAAATGATCACATGGCTACAAGGCAGGAGCCCAGCCTGATTTTAGTAGCGTACAGCACCTGGGCAGAGGGCTTCGAGGGGAGGGAGAGAGGGCTGGGGATACATGGTGTGGATCATTTGGCTGCTCAAGACCTGTTTCCAGTTGAAGCAATTCTTCAGCCAATCAGAAACATTACCCAGATGTGGGTAGTGCTGTGTCTCATCAGTGTTGAATTTCTGCACTCATTCCTCAGACATCATTTCACAGGGAACCACCTTGGTGGCATCACCAAATGTCAGCTGTTTTCTCGGGCTAATACCAACCTTGCTGTCAGTCTACTTTCTCGTTTTCTAAGAAGCCTGGGAACGAAATTATGTTGCTGATGATGTCATACATGTATTTTCAGTGTCACTCATAATCAATTTACAGTCTACAATCTGCCGTCTATACTTTGCAAAAGTCACGTGCATAGAATATTGCACTCAGAGATTCAAGTTCTTTGTGGCAACTGTTGATTACTTGTTTCTCTTTTTTTACTAGGATGAATTTCTTGATGTAATTTACTGGTTTAGACAAGTTTTAGCAATTTTGTTAGGCATCATTTGGGGTATTCTTCCACTGAAAGGAATCCTTGCTATTGGACTGTAAGTATTCCACATGCTGTATATGCTTTGAATCAATAGGCCTTCACGGTTCCAGAAACCTTGCGTTTTTTAGCATGTCCATATGAACAACCTGTCATGTGGCAATGAGTTAAATGTTCTTATCATAGTCATATAACATAGGTTTTTGAGGTACCTGTAGCTTATCAGCAGTGTGCATGTGTCTATAATATTATTGATAACAGGTCAGACTGGAAAATGGGATTTCCAGGTACCCAGTCAATTGTTTATGCATACTTGCTTGGCCCATTCATGCAAGTAAACTTAAAAACAACTTGCCCAAGAGATAACAAGCCCTGTTGAACCCATATTTTAAGTTTCTTACAAACTGTACAGGTTTCCTTGCAGTCACATCAGTTATTCTTGTAACTTTATTACAATTATCTTTGAATTTCTGTTTACAGGTTTGCTTTGCTAAATGCTGGTATTCTATACATTTACTTCACAAACTTCCAAAAGATTGATGAAGAAGAGTATGGTGGCCCTTGGGAACTTACGAAAGAAGGTTTTATGACATCATTTGCATTATTTTTGGTAGGTATATTGGAAACCAAGGGGGTAGCTACCAAATATTTTTATATTTTTATGACATTTGTATTTTCTTCAAGGTGGGTGGGGGGAATGCAAATTCAAGGCAGGCATTTGTTTAAAGGGGACATTTATTTCATTCTTCAGAATTTCATCCATGCGATGTGATGTCCTTGAATGGGTCATTCTCTAATGATTTTACATGTTATTATAGTATATTCAATGAAGATAAACATACATTTGTATCTTACTCTTTGTGAGGTGGGAGGGGACACACACACACCAGCATTTCTCTCCTGGCTCTCTCTCTCTCCCTTCCTCCTTATTTTTTCCCCGTTGTTTACCTTCACACTGCCCTGCACTATCTGAACAGGCTAATCCTGTGTAAGCATGCAAAATGCAAAAGAAATCTAGACTCAAATTTTATGTGTTACGTAGTGTTCTTACCAGGATTTCATACACTGGGGTCCACAGGACCCATAGAGAATCTCAAAGGGGGTCATGAGGGAGAAAAGCGAGTCACAATTTTTAGATACAGTTAACTCAACATTTTTACAGGTCTGAGTATTAGATAATGATAGGTGTTTTCTAAAGATGTCCTAACCAATTAAATTTGGGTTTATATTATAAGGAAATGTACGTATGTGTGAGTATGGCTACGTACGTTTTGTAATAGGTTTTTTTTCCTCCTTTGCTCCCTTGGGACCCCTTACTCTAATTATATACATTACAGTGTGGTATTTCCTGAAAAAGTGTGGATATGCCTCAAAGCCGCAGTCTAGTAAGAACACTGGTTACCGCTTAACTCAGATTCAAATCTCGAAGAAAGTGGGGGCCAGCTAATCTAGACCAGAAGTGAAGAAGGGGACCCAAACTTGCAAGTATTCTTTTCTTGGCATTGTATGCTTTAGTTTGGCCCAAAAAATAAGGTGGGTGCATAGTCCCCCTAGGCCACCATCCTAGATCTGGACACCACCAAGGAGACCTCCTGCTCCAATGGTACTCTTAAGAGCATGCAGAGGGAAATTGACGTAGCCTTCCCTCCTTCCCCCCGTTTAAGAAATTGTGACATTTTGGGGAGCAAAATGTGTAGGATTTGGGCAATGGCCCTTGAAAGAAAGTTAAATGAAGGAGGCAATATTTTCTGATTCCCAAAAGTTACCAGCATTGCAGGACATTCCGAGTGAAAAAAGACGTTGACTGGCACTTACTTCAAACCTAAGGCAACAAAAATTCTACTTTCCCTAATCTTCCTCTGTAATAAACTCAGAGATGGCAGGTACAACAACATGAACATACCAAGCTAATTCACCTGCCCAAAATACACCTGCACTGTAGGCTAGCGGGCTTAGAATGTGAAACAAAGGTTGTGTTGATTCTTAACCTGTGTCAGCCTCTTACATACATTTAGTAAAGACATCGCAAAAATAAAACAAGCTATGTGAAAATATGATAAGACACCCTGATCTGGAGAAGGGAGTGGTGCCAGGGAAAATATGGGAGTAGAGACCGCCCTCTCTTTCCTCATCCCCACACTTTTTTTTGCTCATCACTTTTTCATTATACAACTGACCCTACTATCAGTCTGTCTGGTAGTGACACAACTACCTGATGCTTAGTACAGCCATTGTGCAAGGGCGACTGAATATCTTTGTCATCATCAACATGAATTGGGTGCTACATTGTATTGTGGCAGTAGAGGTGTAGCCCAGTTGTAGTTCAATATATGGGGTATGTGCCACCAGATAGGATACGTTTTTTGAGGGTCTTGATCCTTAATTAGGTCTCATCACTTTTTCTCTTGTCGGCATTCTGTTGTTCCCTTTGTGATCCTTAGTTAGGGTACCTAAATTGTGCCAGCTAAAATTTAAGTGCTTAAATGCCCAGCGACGTGAGATGCAATTAATAATCTGGCAAAATTGAGCTATGCCTTAGTGTATTTGGAAATCGATTTAATGAATGAAGGTTTATGTGTTGCCATTGATTGAATTCTTAGTTGTTGTTTTTCCCTTGAATAGGGTGTCATGTTTTGCATTTGCCTCCCCCACCTCCCCTTCTCCTTGGAGTTGTAGTAGTACTTTTGACATGATAATTGGCATTTTGGACAACATTACGGCAGGAATAACGTCTTCTTTTGACAGCAGCTTTCCACTACTGCAAATCTGTTACATCGTTCACAAACTATACAAGGTTTTGAACGCGATGTAATTAGTTTAAATTAATTCTTTTTTTTTTATTAATATCTATAGCTTTGTAAAATAATTTCGCAATTCGCTTATTTCTAAGCACGACGATTTTATTAATAAACCAGACTTACTTAAACCAGACCTACTTACCATTTCAAAACCATTATTTATAGAGTTCTTTTGGCATTGTTTAGATTTTGGCGAGAAAGAGAAGTAGATAGTTGCCGGCTTTGAATAATTAAATTGCGTTTTTTGATTCCTTTCCTAGGTTGTCTGGATTATATTTTATTCTGCCATACACTATCCATGACATATAAATATTCTTCCCTATCTCACATCTAACGACTTTAAAGCTGGAATAAACTCTTCTTGTCATTTCGCCTAATATCGTCGTCATCATCATCATCATCATCTTCATCAACAAAAACAATCAACGGCTACAAGAAACTGAAATAAAAACCAATTTGCAGCCACTTGTCCGTGGACCTTTGCATCCTCTGGCGAAGATATTCAGAAAACCTTCAACCACTTACTTCAGCCCCTGAGCAAAATTTGGACATATTTTTCAAGTCATAAAACATGTTTATTATACAGGTGCGCAGCTTTGCAACATGGTTGCAAAGGTGGTTTGTTATTTTTCACCAGAGACGGAGTGAAATATGGTCGTATAAAAAGGGGATCGTTCTTCCTGTAATAGTAACGGTCTGCACTCAAGATCAGTGGTAGTAAAGTTGCGACAACTCTGAAGTCACAACGCATGTTCTCCGAATGATATAATGTAATGGTCAAAAAGGCTTAATTGTGCGAGCAGATTTCCCAGAAATGAAGATGGTATAAAGCTGAAGTCAACGTTAATCTGGCACCACTGGTTCAAAAGGTGGATGGATAGTGCTATCTACGAGATAAATCTTTACCCAGTCGATAGTGCAACAACAAGGTCTACGTAAGCAACAAATTTTGCATTTAGCTTTCTGTTGACAATAATGTGACGATGTTATTGTTTTCTTTAGTCTGTGGATTACAATCTTTAAGCTTTATGTTATTTTACTGATGTGGCCTTAATATATGGATAGAATAGATCTTAATATTAACACAGTAATAAACTACTGTAGTATATTTCTCTATTTTCTTGTGTTTAAGTTTTGTTTGTTTACCCGGAACTCTGAACTTCATGTACCTTTGGTTCCCTTAAAAATCCACAAAACTAGGCATTTATCAGTCTTTGAAGTATTTATAACCTCTATACGTACACGACGCAAAACCCACATACCTCATTTCTCTGAAAAAATCATTGATTAAGAAAAAGAAAGAGCTTTTGAGGGAGAGGGGAGAGTTGGGTGGTTATTTGAGAAGGCGTTAATTTATTACCCTGTACTCATCAAACTGTGATAGTGACTCAAGTAGCGTTTAAATTAACTGTGATAATGACTATTTTAGTGTCAATGTATTTAGCTTAACAGTTAGCTAATTGGGGACACTTTCCTACGTACTGGCCAACAAATCTTAGACTTAAATTAGTTTACTGTCCACTCAAGGGAGGTTATTTGAGGTTCTATGGACTCTTAGAAGGGCATCAGCTTAGGTTTTCGGGAGGTTAATGGGGAGGTTAATGGGGAGGTTAATGTTTGAGCGTTGCGCGTCGACCAGAATTGGACTTTTTGCATTCTTGGGCAGTGGTTTTGCCAACATTTAAGAGTGAAGAGTCTCTGGGATACAAATTTGGGAGCGTCAAGGCATTTATAAATCGGTTGATGTGCGTCAATCAAAAATGCTTATTACGCTCCCTGGTAATGCAGTTAGTGGTGAAATTACTGGAACCGACCTGGACTTCAGGATTCCGTTGGCGGAGATTTTTTCAGAGTCCACAAATACACGAACAAAACACACAAAAGTATTTTTTACAGTTTATTGCATTCTCACTATATATGTCAGGAGCCGATTACTTGACTATGTCTATTAATATCAATTTTTCATCTATATTAAACGAAAAGTTCGTCTTTTCTGGGTTTGAACGGCTAGTTAATATCGTACCAGAGACCATTAATAATGATAATAATAATAATGTCTTTAATTCATTTGATGAAAATACATATCAAAAGTTACGGTGATGGAGAACAAGTTATTAAAATGCTAACTAACGAACAAGCGCTTACAATTTTTAAAGTAACATAATAAAAGTGAGTTAGATTACTAGTTTCTAATTAGAATTTAATCTATTTATAAAACTTTTTATTGTGTTCGGCATTAACTTTAGGTAGCAGGCTAGTGTTACATCTTAGCCTTGTCGATGATTCTTTTGCTCGTAGTAGCATGGAGTGTAGAGGGTGACAGCTGTCGGTGCTTATTTTTTTGGAAGAGTTTCCGATCACTTTCTTCCAACAATTGTAAACAAGTTATTATTATAATGAATATCAGGGGCACCCAACGACAATTTTCGTAAAATATCTGTTCGGAAGACGATTTGAGATCTAGAATTTTCGGAACATTTGTTGTTAAATTTCTTGCTTGCCCGCCTCTCCTAGGATTTTCGAACCCCCCAAAAATGGTATAATTGCCCATTTTTAACGGATTTTTACCCTAAAAAGGTCACCTAGATTTTTGGGGAGCCTTTTTTCTGGCTGAAATTTTCGAAAAGGTAAGTTTTGATCCCTATAATTTTCGGATCACTAGACTTTCTGCTAGGAAATCCGAACAGATAAAAAATTTTTAGGGGATAAAAGTACGACTATATCTACCGTTTAAATACTAAAATACGTTCAACAATGCTATGTTTAAGTGGTTTTGAACTACATTATCGTTGGGTGGCCCTGGAATATTCGTTGGTCGTCTTTAGTATTGAAAATTCATTAACTTTAATCTTATACTCTTGACCCAGGGCGACAATTTAACAAGTTTCACTGTGTTTTTCAGTTCATCGAGTCTTCATTTATTACTAGGACAAGGCCAGTTTGAATATCAAATAATTTAGACTTCTTCCTTTTCTTTTTCATCGGTCTCACTTCCATAAAGATATGATTTGAACTAACAGGGGGAAACAGGAGCACCCGGAGGAAAACCCCCTCTATTAAATATGCCTTCTAGTCTAACTGATTAAATATATAAATATACTTTTCTAGGTGAACATATCCGAATAGATTACCATACCTCACTGTAAGCATGACTTTCAAGTTGCTTGTGCACTTATGAGCTAAGTCTCCAAATTGTAAAAAGGTCTCCAAATCGTTTCAAATCCAAAGTTGCCCATACCCTCTCATAGTTCACTATTAATTCGATTGTTACAAGTCACTGTCTACTTCCTTATGTTTGGCAGTTGCTTCTACAACTGGTGATTAGTAGAGGTTCGACTGTATTTCTTAATTTTTTTCTGTTTCCTTCTTGTTTGTTCGAGAAAATATTTTTTTCTAAAAAAATTACGCATGAAATTTTTAAAAGCTCCTAATGGTTTGATGACACACGTTAAAGCTATCTATGTTTGAACATAACCAGGTGAGACTACAAGACTATAACATAGACAAAGTATATTATATCCGCATACAATAATGCACATCAGATCGAGGTTTATACGTTGCCCGCGTTCCCCGTCCTTTCTCTCCCCAGTCTGCCTCAAGAGTCTGAAAACGTGGAAATGTTTCTGAATTGGTGTTATCAAGAGAGAATGAGCTAGAGAATGAGCTAGCTCATTCTCTCTTGATGTTATAAATCCGTCGTATCGACTATGACCTTCAGAAACATAGTCTCGTCTCTGACATACGCCTGATCATTTAACTCCGACAAGGGACAGAATTTAGGGCACCCACTAGCGATGTTAGTTTCTCTTCTTGGTCTCTGGAAGGATGAGCTGTTTGGGTCAGGTCTGAAGGAATCAATGACGTGTTCTACGTTATTTTGATCCAGCAGCATGAACGTAACCTTCTGTCTGAATGGCCAGCGGAGTAACGCATCGTACTCACCACGCATGACAACAAAGAATACTGAGATGTGTGTCCCTTTTCCAATACCATCACCATTCAAGTAGATTCGCGCGCACATCTTGTATCCATAGCGACTAGTAAAAAAGCAGGGGCTGTAAAATGATGTCTGATGTCCGGAGACGGCATCTTGTCTCTTCTTAGAGAACTCAGTAATTTTCCAAAGCAAGATTCCATCGTGCCTGGAGACTTCCTGCTGCCTCACATATTCGTCCAAATCTGTCGGCATAACATTACGCAGTGCTAGTGAGTGACTCATGGACTCGAACTGTCTTTGTAGCCGATCAGTTGTTCCATTCGAAGACTCCTGTTGCCTGGTTACGGTAGACACCTTTCTCTGAAGTTCTTCATTTAATCTGTTTGCTTCAACGAGCAAAAGTTCGAGATTGGCTGTCTTTCCTTCTTCTGTAGTCATCCTGTGTAAAAGCTCTTTGGCGAGCGTTGAATCAAATGCTGTTGCTGAGTTTGAGCTATTCTGTTTAAAACTTTCCAGTTGCCGTATTCTTTCTTCTTGTTGTGCCACTTTTGATCTTAATCCTTTATTCTCTTTCAGTGTGTTCTCAACTTGTTTTGCATATCGTTCCAAATCTTTCTGTTTTGGTAGATTTACTCCATTCAATGACAAATGACCCGATTCGCGCATGGTCCTATCAACCATCGAGAAAAGCTGCATTACGGTTTGAAACAGGAGCATCAAGTGACCGGAAGCATTTTCCTCTTCATGCTTCCTTCGTTCTTGCAGCTTCATAGTCTAAAGAAAACGAAAACGACATAGTGTATTAAGGCTCAGAAGCGTTAATAAACACACAGCCCACTCACAGATTATCGATTGATTGCTTACTTGGAGCATACAGTCAAACTTCAAGTGGATTCAAAAGTCGTTCATAGCTACCCTGATGACGACTCAGTATTGAGCATTTTGGGAACTTTTCTTTTCTTACCTGCACAAGCTAAGGACCCTTCACTAAGAGTTTTCCCCTAGTAGACAAAAGCATATCAAATCTCAGATCTCCCACTGATATATACCCCCCCCCCCCCCCCGCCCCCTCCCCATCGCTCCACACACACACACAAACAAACACACACTCCACGCCATTCTTTACAAACAAGTAGTCTGATATCCCTCTGCCAAGGCAAAGTCGTGGCATCTCCTTAAGTGTGGTGACCATTCACGGCACGCAAAAAACTATCAGTGCCACAGTTCCCTTTTTAAGTTGGTCCATTTAATGCGCGATCCCCTCCTAACTAAAGTAATCTTAAGTATTTGCATACCTTTGTCACAGGGCATCCAATTTGTGTCCATGGACAACTTGATTGTAATTCCTCACAGTCTCCATTTACCGGATCAATATGGGCACACATCTGGTAAAATAAATATAACGACCAAAAATAAATCTCGAACGATTTTTTTTAATTGTTTCACTCTGATGTAAAATGTAAAATGAATTTAATTTGTCACCCACGAAGCATCTAGGAGCTAGCCGTTAAGTGTGCGTTCCATGCAAATCAAATTGGAATTTGGAGTAATTTTTTTTTGAGCTGAAGTTAGCTAAAGCCAGAGTACCAGGAAGAAAACCTCTCGGAGTAAGAAAGAGAGTGAATTTAGACTCAGGTACAGCAGTTAAGTGCACCGTATTTGGCGTTGTCGGTTTTTCGATTGGCTTGATGCAAAAAGTGCTTGTGATATCCGTTTACTCACCTGAGAACGAGGTATGTCCTTTCTCCCACATTCTGTGCAAGCCATAGGGACGGAGGGACACTGAGAGTCCTGGTGTTCCTTTGCATAATAATGAATTACAGTCACTAGTTTAGACGTCACCGTGAACAAAGTATCCAGGCTGATTTGGTTTTAGATAGAGACCCTAAACGTGTAGGTAGAAAGATCTCTTGTTTATGAGATGTAATACCGGCACCGATTTCTAATGATTTGAGACGTTAGCAGGTTAGAGGCATGACGAAATGTGCAAAGAGTCAATGAGCGGAGGGGGAAAGGGAAATTAAAAAATGGGATCCTTTACGAAGTTAATACCAATTAATTATCTCACGAAAAGTAATTTATTGTATAAAAGTACGTTAAGGTTTAAATTACTTAATTAATAGGATCGTATCCCAAATGAGGATCTTCGTAAGGGTAAACTGGAACCAATTTCACCTAATTTCAGAAGGGTCATGATCATACGTACCTCCAAAAATGCAAACTCAACAAGAGCTTGGCAGTGGTCACATTTTCCCATTCTGAGTTTACACGACTTCTCAAGATGCTGTCCCAGTTTTGCTCTAGTAACTAGTTCACCGCATCCTAAATGCACGCATAGAACTTGAACGTAACCACACACAGCTTCGTGATCCTAACACACGAGAAAACGTAATTTTCAATTACAACAATAAGGAACAAGTTAATAATAACTATAATTTAGAACAATACGCGGAGAATTTTATTGTAGAATCGGCAACTTTCCAACTAGGAGTATCGTAAAACCAGAAAAAAATATAGAAAAACCAATTAAAACAATCTGAAAGTTAGAAGAATTGTCTGGTTGCCAATACCGAAAAAGTAAAAACGCGCCCGATTACAATTATTTTGTTTTGTTTTCTCTCATGTGGTATTGGCTGAGACTTCATAAGCATGTAGAAAAAGAACTATGCTACTTAGGCCAAATTGAAATCGCCTTTTTCAACAACGTTCTTAGACACAGTGACACTCTGACAGAAGACAGATAAGACTCCTTTCAGTGTCAAAACACGTCGTAAATCATGCGTCTTATAATTTAGCCCAATTGAAATCGCTTTATTCCGAATATCTTCTTTCACACGCTGATAAGATTTCTGCGCCAAAACATTTAGTAAATAATGCGCCCTATACTACTTCAGCCCAACTGAAATCGCTTTATTTCGTCTATTATATAATTTATATGTACATCTCTACAGATTTCGTAGATAATCCAGCTGATCAGTAGTATCATGGGCTTCATTGTTCAGAAGGTCTATCACGATGGGGTGGTAGCTTTCCAACCTCGTTCCCAGGGTTCTCTGAGAGAGAACCCTGGGAACGAGGTTGGTAGCTTTCACGGTTATGGTTGATATGGGTGGTCTATTAAACCTTCACGAGTCAAACGTAAGTTATAATAGGATCAACAGCCAAAAGACAAAACAATAAATCTCCAAAAGCGATCTTGACAAAATGTATAGCTGGAATTGACGAAAAGGGTAAAGTGTTTCAATTTATTAAGATTAATCCCGCTGAACCCCAACAGTACAGTATAGAAGCCGATGCAGAAGTTACCTCTCGTTTCCTAAGCTCGTCTTTCCAATCACAACCTTCTTCTTGATGAGTGCAGTGAACCAAGAGTGACTGGATTTCACGCTCGATAAATCGGTCAAAAAATACCTACAGAGTGATACGAAAAAAAGTACTATATCATTTATTGAACACGAAAATAGTAATTACTAGAGGGTCTCAATGGGGTGGTAGCTTTGACGGTGCCGGTTAATTTCTCTAATTGATGGCTGACGGTTCAATGTTAGAGCTTTTGATGGTTGACGGTTATCAAGTGGGAAATTAGTCTAAAAGTTAAAGTAAATGTTAACTTCAGTATGAATTAAACATTTACTGTTGTGTTTTGGAGGTTGTCTTGCATGGTTGTCATGCAAGGTATTGTAATGTCTAGACAAACTAGAATGAGTGTTTTTGAGAACATGGGAACTGTCTTGTTTAGAAATTCTTCGGGAGCCGGAATGCCGTGAAGATCAGCTGAAATAGTGAGATTTGAAATACTTTGAACCTTTTTGACGGCTAATCTTGACCTGCATTTTTTGACGGTTGACGGTTAATTTTTAGGCCACGACGGCTGTCGGTAAACCCCTTCAAGTCCCTTTTACTACTTGACCAATGCAGAGTAAACGAAAAGGTTGGCTTTTAATGTCCTCAGAATCGAATGTCGCAGGTGAGAAGAAAACAGAACGTGTCCTCTTTACGTAATATATTAGATGGATTTAAAGTCAAGTTTAAGGTAAACGGCAAAATGGTAGAGATTTAATTCTACAATTCAAATTAGAAAATGAGAAGATAACAACTGTCCAAAATAACTTTATATATGAACTTGACTTCTGGAACTTCTTTTATATGAACGTGTCAGATTTGATGAACAGTAAAGCGTCAGAAGGCAAAGTAGAACGTCGGCAAAAAAGGCAGCAGTGGCTACCGCTATCTGCATGGTTGTCCATTTTATGAGTTTGTATGATATCTATGACTTAAGTGATGCGGCGGCAGAGGAGTATAAGGGGACTACATCACTGAAGAAACTTCCCTTAATGCATCAGTCAATTCAACCAGCGCCCAGCCCTCCCGCCCCGGGATGACCCACGGGCATAAGCATTTTTTTTGCCTTGGATGGCAAATTCCCTGGAGTGGGGACTCTTGAGCAGTCAAATCCCCCGGGGTGGGGACGAAAAAAGAGGGCAAATGCCCCGTCCTCCGTCAACACTGCAACATTTTTCATTGATCGCACAGTCGAATAGTACCATTTTAAGCATTTTAATGTGCGATTTCTTGTTTCAATTAACGTCTTCCTTTGTATCAGCGCTGGGATTCTAATTAAGACTTCACGCCGCGACGACATGCACCAGTTTATGGTTTTAGTATTGATATAAAATTATTGGCATTAAAATTAATAGAGCGCTGTAAAGTTATATGTTATGAATAGTTTTATAAATATGAAAGGATGTTCTTCAAATAATATCAACAGAAATTTGATTCAATAACCAAAAAACGTTGATTCACATCGATAGCTCCAATTTCCCTAAGTAATTCTGGCGTGATAAGCAATAAAGAAATGCATGCATAAAATCGAGAACATGCCTTTATAACCCTCTTCAATTTATTCCTATTCTCGACAGATGAGCCAATCTGCTTTTTTTTCCAGTAAAACCTTCTGTGTAGTTATATCCTGATAGGAAACCGCGTTCCTGTAAAAAGCTCGGGAATGCCCCCCGGGGTTGGCAAATGCCCGGTTCCCGGGCAGTGCAAAATTTGCAAATGCCCCACCCCCGGGACTGACAATGCGGGCAAATGCCCAGCAGTAGCTCGCGGGAGGGGGCTGGGCGCAGGTGGAATTGACTGATGCATAATCTTTTCGAACAAAAAGAGTGTGGTTTCACGTCGGCCCTTCGAATTAACTCGTGAACTGAGACAAAGCCGACGCCTTAATATCACCGCCAAATTCCAGTATCATCTGAACTGAGACATGATATTAAACATATCCAGCATGATCTTCCTTTTTTTTTTTGGAGACCCTGGTTGATGGTCCGGCCAGGGTTTAAGCCCAGGGTTTGCAGTGCGGTGCTCTTCCATCTGAGTTAAGGGATAGTTCATGAATAGGAAAAAAAGGGATTGGGGCGTATATATTAAGATGCAGCATCATAACCGGGTGGCCCACGGTTATAGGAACCCAGACTAACTAGAACGAAGCGTTAGTCACCCCATATAAGGCAATCCCGGGACAGTCTTGGATTCTGGATTCCACGCCATGGATTCCGGATTCTAGTTATTGGATTTCAGATTCTTTGACATTGGAACTGGATACCAGATGCCAATCGTTAGTGGGATTCCGGATTCCTTAGGCTCGATTCCAGATTCCAAAGCCCAACATTCTGGATTCCACTAGGCTTGATTCACCAGCTGCTGTACGGGAAATGAGCTCGTGCTCCTCCCTACCCCTGCCCCCGGGATTTCCCAAGCAAAAATTTCATGGGGTGATCCAGTTAGTGTTTTGTATTTCATACCGGCCTGTTTATTCAAAGGTTCAGCCACCAAGGTGTTATTACGTCAAAACGCATTATGGAGAACAAAAATTCAAACCTGTTCTTTATGAATATCTGAACTGTCGATGATGCATTTTCCAACTTCTTGCCTGTAAATTAAGTAAAGGCAGGGATCAGTGTGTATATAACCACTTATCGGTAGAATATCTTTACATATTACCGGATTTATACCCAACCTCGTTCCCAGGGTCCTCCCCTACTCGGCCCCCGTGGGAACGAGGTTGATTTATATCTGCAGTATATTTGCCAGCTTACAATAGTTAATTTATTATCACATGGCCCCAGTTGTTCAAACGTTGGATAGCGCCATCCACCGGAAAACCACTATCCACTGGATAGGTAAAAAGAACACTGAATTGCTTTTTTCACCTGAAAGGTGATTTATCCATGATCCAGTTTATAAAGCATTATCCACCTTTTGAACATTCTGGGGCTTGAATTACAGTTACCATTTATCTGCACCACATTAGCCAGACAGCTATCGTCAGCATTTGTAGTTATTCGCTTGATATCAGTCATTTATCTACAGTAAACTAATTGCTTTCGGAAGAAGCGTATTTCAGCTGCCTAGGCCAATGATGAGATACAACGTTCTTACCTTAGAATCGTTTCCACGCATGTCTTACAGTACCGATGACCACACGCTATTGTTTGCACAGCTTCTCTGAGAAGACCCTCACATTTAGGGCATAAATGTTTTTTATCGATTACTGATCGGTCCGCGAAAGATAACTCATATCCAGGCATTGTAGGCCTAAAATTAGATGCAAAAACAAACAAATCAGTAAAATTACTTGCTGAAGTTACTAAAACAAAAAACTCGAACAAAAAAGCAAATATTGGTCAAGTTTTATTTGATGTTCTGATGTTAAACGGTGTCAAGCCGGCAGATCAACTATATATTTGCCGATTCTGAAAGACATAACGTATGGTCACTTTTATCTTAACCTCGGTAAACAAATACTTGAGTTGTAACAACAAGACAATTAGACAAACAATATCTCTGCTTCTTTTTTTTTCTGTGGAGGCGTGTTACCAGAATTAACTCGTTCCCAGTCGCCTTCATCATAGAGACCTTTAGTTTTTCGAGTACGACAAGGAGTACGAGATTTTCTCAGTACTAAGTGGTAATTAAGCGCGCGTGAACCAGTGTCATTTTGGCGGGAAAACGTAGTAGCCGTCGTCACTCTACTACGAGTTTTAGTGAGAATGTCGAAGTAGCGGAAACAAGTTATCAAATGTTAGAAGTTTTAGCTTTTTGCGATCGGGAGAGGGTGTAACCTCCTTCAATAAAGGTAACAGTGCTCACTTTTCTATTGAAAATTTGTAAAATGAATCGTCCTCGTCCTTGAATCTAAAGGTCCCTAATGCGCCCGGCACAGGAACACTCTTCGCATCAAACTCTGCGTCTTCCCACAACTTCTTGCTCCCCAACAAACGCTCTTTTGGCGTGCACACTAATGATTATAAAGACGACTGAACACGAGCCAAATTACCAGATAACCCGCTGTGATGTTCTCACCAAGTACAAACATTGACCGATAAGATTAAAGGGCTGATCTTGCTCTGTAAAAGGAGAAGCTTTGGCATTTGCGTAAACATGTTACTAACCTGAGATGTTATTATAAAACGAAACGAAAATTGAGCCTGATCTCAGGTTAATATGTTACAGGTCAAAATTGAATTCAGGTTAAAATTTTTTAACCCGGGTTGATTCTCAATTCCCTTTGGCTTCTAGCTCCTATTCATGAATTATTAGGGTATAAGGAAACAAAGAAAATTCAGAATTAACCAAGAGGGTGCTAATGGGGGTACCCAATTTTCAGTTAAGCCAAGGGAAAATTAAATGAAAAAAAATTCATGCTCGCAAATTAATCCTAAAAATATTCATGCTATGGCCTAAAAAAAATAACGAAAACGAAAACGAAAAAAAATTCCCCCGGCTCGAAAATCCCCCCCCCCCCACAACCCCCATAATGTTTCTAATGGTCCGTCCCTAAGAAACCAACGGTACGGCTATTTTCTCAGGTCAGCAATTAATGAGGTATGACGTCATAAATATTCAACTACCTTGAAATTGAAAATTCAGGGTTGAAAAGATTTTTTAGGCTCAGTATTAGAGCTGTTCACTGAATTGGATAAATTACTGCGATGTTCTTCTTCTATCAAATCTTTTTCCCTAGTTTAAATGTACGAATTGGATATTTTTATTCTCAGTCCACTATAGAACATAGAGATCCATGAGATGGTTTACTGACGTTTACTTACCTGCCTTGTAATTAACTCTTTGGCACAAGATTACTGAGTCTAGGAAAACTGCGCCGGATATCAAGTCAAAGAGAAAGAGCTTAAAAAGCTCTGTCGTTCACCAGTGCGATCTCACAAGCACCACAAAATTGCTTTTAAGCTTTAGCAAGCAAAATTTGTAAAAAGATAATATGTGAAGATGCCGTAACATATCACCTGAGACTGAAAATTTAGAGGGAAACATTCTTATTTTAAAATTTTACTGAATTGCGTCAAATATTCAAAAATGGCCTTTGACAGCAAATTGGTCTCCTTCCTCTGGTTATGTCGTTTGTTCCGCTACATTTTTAGAAAGCCCCATCGACGCGATAACGTTGCGCGTTTTACTTCCGAGATTGGAATATCTGCTGCTAGGCAGGTACTCGTCTACGTCAAGAGTGGACAAGCAAGTCGACTGACAATTTTTCTTTGTATATATTTAGAAATTTTGGACAAGACGTAATTTTATGTTTAGAGCTCAAGTGGACAATACGCTGTTCCTGACTCTGCAGCTGTCGAATCTTCTATTGTTGCTTTCTTTTAGCATTCGCAAACACACGTCCATGGCCTCTCGTACCATTCTTTCAAATTTCTTTGAAGAACAGCGAACTCAAAATAACCCACAATACTTTTCGGGATTGTTGCGTGCACTTTCTCCGACAACCCAGGCCTGCTGACAATCTTTCTCGAAACACAGGAAAAAAATAACGGATTCCCATTTTTGGATATTTTAGGGTATTTAAAGAATACCCACAAAAATCCCAAATTTGAAAGAGTGGGACAAGTCCCAATCAGGGAACTTGGTTGGGAATTCCCTGGTTGGGAGTTGTCTCACTTTGTCAACGGAAGTCAATATTAATTAACATTGGAGCTTGTAAAAAATTTGCTGTTTATCGTCCAAGAAAAGATATCCTGTTTAAGACAAAAATTGATAAATCGATACCCTGATTAAGACGAAAAATGATAAATTCGATACCCTGTTTAAGACAAAAATCCCGAAAAACATACCCTGGCTGGCCGCACGTCCCCATAAAGCCCTTATAGGGGAGTACCCCCGGGGGCTTATAACTGGAACACCTAGAAGGAGCGCTTAGAAAAAAGCCAAAGCAGTGCTGATCAAACTGAATTCCTTTTTGCATTTACTGGTTTTTGCTTTGAAACGTTATAATAAATCGAATTCATTTCATTACAAGCTAGAGGGGGCCTTCAGTAATCGGATGTATTTTTCGCTTACAGTTGGATAAGGCTATAACTGGGTGGGCTTATAAGTGGGGCCGGTAGGCCTTATAAACGACAGTTTATGGTAATTGGTTACGCTAATGTCCGAAACCTGCAAACCGTAAAAACCGAACCTGATCTAACGACTGTAATTGCGCATACATAAGATCACTTTTTACCTGCACGACATAGAGTACTAAAGAGTGACATCATAAAAATGAAATTTCTGAAATTATGGGATTTGCTAGGATATTCAGAAAGAACAATGTCCAAGAGGCCTACTTGCCAAAAATGAGCACTTCGGGGCAAATTGTCTCCGAGATCGTAGCCCAGTTATGCTTAGAAAATTCCATACAAACCCTTCTAAATTTTTTTGGGGTCGACCCAAAAAAGATTAGAAGGGTTTGTATGGAGTTTTCTGAGTATAACCGGTTAACATCTCAGAGACAATTTGCCCCGAAATGCTCATTTTTGGTAAGTAGACCTCTTGGACATGTTCTTTCAGAACATCCTGACAAATCCCATAATTTCAGAAATTTCATTTTACGACGTCATCACTTTAGTACTCTATTTGCATAACAAATAACTTAAGTTTTCTTGCTGTCACGCTATCCGCTCTTTCGTCGCATCGACGGATACACGCAATCAATAACGTTTTTCCACTTCATAAGATACCAGTGGGTGCTACCGAATGAAGAATCCCAGCAAAGTTGCTACCACAGACGCAAAAATAAATAAATAAAATGCTTGATGAGAAATTTGGTCAGCGTTGCGCAACATTTATTCGAGACGCGTCATGAAACTACCTGCCAGCATAAACTTCCGGAAAAACCGGGATCGCTCCAATAGAACCTGACTTTCTAAACCTGATTTTTTGTATCACATGCAAACGTCTTCTGTAAAAGAATAATGAGTTCTTATACCTAAAGAAACAATGAATTCTGAAGTAAATAATAAAAAAAATAAACGTATCGGTACCATTGCGTTCTTAAGCCTCTATTTTAAAACTCTACGGCTTAATGTAACTTGCCGAACCTGGCCTGAAAATAGAAAGGTTATGACCGAACCCAAAGAAATTGAGAATGCCAGCAGACGGGAGGACATTGAGGACATGCAGAAGGCCATCTTACAAGCGTGGTGGATGAGGTTAACTGAAATCTGCTTAGTAAGACAATTAAATTAATTTGTTCTAGTTACGTTGAGTCCGCCGTTCGACCAAATACTTAAAATGGCCCCTTTCTGCCCTTTCCCTATTTGCTTTCAGCGAGGACTTATAGGATACAGGAGCAGCCAACGAGAATATAGTTCAAAACCACTTAAACATAGCATTGTTGAACGTATTTTAGTATTTAAACGGTAGATATAGGCATGTTTTTATCCCCTAAAAATTTTTCATCTGTTCGGATTTCCTAGCTGAAAGTCTAGTGATCCGAAAATTATAGGGATCAAAACTTACCTTTTCGAAAATTTCAGCCAGAGAAAAGGCTCCCGAAAATTCCAGGTGACCTTTTTGGGGTAAAAATCCGTTAAAAATCGGCAATTATACCATTTTTGAGATGTTCGAAAATCCTAGGAGAGGCAGGCAAGCAAGAAATTTAACAACAAATGATCCGAAAAGTCTAGATCTCAAATCGTCTTCCGAACAGATATTTTCCAAAAATTGTCGTTGGGTGCCCCTGAGGATATTAGTACGTAGTAACACATAATCTGTGATGGGGTGGGGACAACATCAATTTAACTATTACGACAGCTACAGGGGATTCCCCGAACCTCTAACCAGTGCGATCAGGCTTCTTTCTTTTTTTTTTTTCGAAAACAAAAAGGCAAGAAGGACCGCCTGATCGTAGGTTACCGAACCTCAGGTAAATAACCCAGAAAGAGTCCGATTAGAAAGTCCGTAAATCATGGCGGCTCCGGCGATATTTTTAAAAAAAGTTGTGGAGTAGGCCGGAGGATTATATGCAAAGATCGTGCACGGAAAACTAGGCATGAGAAGAAAACAAAACAGGCACAGCGTGAACCCACAAGAAGGTTCTAATAATTCTTTCAAAATTGTTATATGCCATTGCAGAATTAAGGACCACCAAGTGCTCCTATGTAAAACTTACAATTGGATCACTATTATTTTGCGTTGAGTTCCTTGTTGATAAATATATTGTGCTGTCAATTGAACCGCCCGTGACACTGGCTCCTTTTACAGGCTGTCACGTAGTAAAGGTTCAATTTGTTTGTGAATATAGTTA